CTAGTGCCAGGGCACAGAACAGGTTTGACCCCCACTGCACATGAGTACCACTTTGCCTCCCTGCTGTATCTCTTCACTCTTGCAAGAAAAAGTAAAGGAGGGCAGGGAAGCATTATGATCTGGGGCTAAATCTGCCCCTAGTTACACCAATGCTAGTTGGCAGGATCATGTATTTATATAAGAAATATGTTTGCAAGCACCTTGGTGCTTAAATATTCACATAAAAATTTACTGGAGTCTAGATAGGGGAGATCTTTGTATCAGAGAACAATAACAAGGAGAAAAGCCTATAAATGTTGCAGCGTAAATGAATATTTGAGTAGCTGAATCATACGGCCTTCCTGTTTGAGACTACAGAGGCCATCCAGAAGTAATATATTCATGTTATCATGTCCTAAAGAATTGGCTATTATCTGTGGTGACCATGAATCACAGGTCTGATGCTGTAGCTCTTGGTCTTCATGAGTAGTTTTAGTCTATCTGTCCAGTGACACTTTCCAAAAAGGCACAGAAGTAGATGGGAGTAATTAATCTGCTGCACTAACTGATGTAATGAGCAAACAAAGCATCTTCAAAAGCAGGAATTCTGTGCAGGCATAGTGATCACACCCTTAAATTAACTTCTTTCTTTGGGAATGTTTTCCATTGCTGCACCTTTGCTAAGTGTAAATTGGGATCTCAGTTGATGAGGAACGCTTCCTTTCACAGAACAAAGCAAAGCAATGCCAAAATGTCATTTATTCTCCAGGCATTGTCTAAAGTCAAAATCACATATATGCATAAATAAAATAAGCAGGGAAGCTGTGGACACTGAATTTGTTACATTTCTCCTAGGAACTTCCTTGGTTACAAACAGCTCTCACCTTTTCATTTTAATTGGATTATTCATCTAGTCTTTATATAGAGAGAACAATTGCCTTAGTATGTGGTCTGACATGAGTTCTGAATTTTTTAAAGCTATTTTCTAGACAAAAAGACAATATGCAATTGATATGTAGTCAATCTTCTTAAGCTTGACCCTTGGGTGATGTGGGGAAAAGCCAGGTCACACACCAATGACATCCTTCAGATATTAAAGTAATTTGACAGAAGAAAAATGTTTACAATAAATTAAGGTTTGATTTGAAGAAATCTCCAGTGTTGAAATATGTTTGAAATATCAGAAAAGTCAGTCCTAAAATAATTATAACTTAATTTCAGGGTGTGTTTTAAGTTGTACCAGGCGAAATATGCCTCACTTTTAAAATGTTAGTGATGCTTCTGTTACAATTTCCCTTCAACTAATTATAGCACCCAAAAGGAAACTTGTATAGTAGATACTTGTTATGGTTATGCTTGTGGCTTATTAGTATAATTACACTGAAATGAGTTTGACATTTCTAGTTTTATAACAGTGTTGTGGTTCACAGTTGCCATCACAGCTGGTGAATTGTCTGTTCACAATACATTCCATATGTGGTGGAGACCAGAATGTGGAGGAATTTACAGAGGGGAGTACAAGAGAGGAGTGGAAATAGTGAGGGTGGAAATGCTGCTTTGCTCTTTCTTTCTCCCCTCATTCCCAAAAATTCATGCATAAAAGGCTTGATAGAACAGCAGGGGACATACTTTGTATATGAGCTTCAAATTAGTATTCATAGAATCATAGAAGAGTTGGAAGCGACCATGAAGGTCATTGAGTCCAACCCCCTGCTGATGCAGGACACCAAGTTACACCATCCCACTCAGATGGTTGTCCAGGTTCTTTCTGAATGTCTCCAGTGTGGGAGAGCCTGCCACCTCTCTAGGCAGCTGGTTCCACTGTTGTATTGCTCTGACAGTGAGGAAGCTTTTCCTGAAGTCCAGCCTGAATCTGGGTTGCTGGACATCAGGAATGCAATTTCAAATGCAATTTAATTTTGGCTGAAGAACCACAGCACCAGTGGGAGCAGTTGGGTGAACTATATATGCATTACCAGCCTTTAAAGCGCCTATAGGAGGCTGAGTAAATAAGAGCTCTGTTGGTGCTTGTGCTGACCCTTCATGGAAAGTACAGTGGTGAGGATGTGAGAAGCAGGTACTCAAATGGTCAAAGTAGACTTGGTCAGGTTCCATGTCTCAGGTACATTTGTGACACTATGTTATGGAGCATTGTGAGTATTTGATTCCTGTGGTGTTTGAAAACTTAACGTGTACAGATTTGGAAACAATACCCACATTCAGTAAGTTACCTTAGCATATGATTCCCCTGCTCAGCTGTGGTGGATCTACAGTGTTTGATTGGAGGATAAAAAATACAACCATACATAATTTGGGGATTAGGGTTAATTTGAGCTACTTGTAAGGAGTAGCTTAAATTAACCCTTCAGTCTCTACCCATTGTAAATTCGTGTTGCAGCTGGATATATGAAAGCCTCTTCCCTGCAGATGTTTGGGTTGTGCATATTGATGCCAGGGGAAGGTCTTGGTTGAAGCATAATGACAACCCAGAGCACAGGTTGATTGTAGGTTGAATATGACTTGATGTTGCCTTACAAATTGGAGTTGCATGTGAACTGTGCACTATAGTTTAATTGTGAGTGTAACTATGTGCTGTTAACAACAACCTAGACTTTGGGTTGTCACTGTGTGCCAAACAAGCCAGCATGTGTGACATCAGAGTCAGGACTAGACAGCTCACTGCTTCTGCACTGCTCTATATGGGAGCAATAATGCCCTAACATGGCTTTTGGTACTTCTCATTCAAGATATAATACTTTGGCCAGCCAACCTATTTCCTTGTCACTCTTTATAATCTAGACCAGGAACAGGGAGAGTTGATAAGATTGGCAAGTGTTTCTCATTCTTTGTTAACAATAGTATTAACTAAAAGGTGTCTTGAAAATGCACTTGGTTGCTGAAATTAAGATAGCTTGAGTGGGAAGATTAGGGGGAAGAAGGGGACAGCTACCTAACCAGCCAGATCAGTTGAATGAGCCCTGGCAACCAGTGGGGTGACAGATACCACAGCCAGATCACCCTCCCATCCAGGGGAAATTAGGAGTCAGTGTTTGTTTGAATGGATAAGAACTCCATTCTGGTAATTTTCTGCGTTAAGCATGTGTCTGCCTCCAGAGACAGTATTTTGCACTTGGCTCCAGTTGGTGATCCTTGGGCTTCATTAAGAACATGAAATAAATCCTGGAAGCCTGGAATCTGCCCTTCACCAATCTGGAACATAGACACTTTCAAAGTAGGTGCTGCTAAAAGCCAGGATAGGTTGCTTGCCAATTTATTGCTGGTTTCATTTAAAAAATTGCTGGGCTAGATGGGCCTTGAACTTGATCCAGTAAGGCACTCATATTCATAAGAAACAGTGTGTACTTGGGATTGCATAAGCCAAGGCATCATCAATCTGTACTGCGTCAACTCTTGCTTTGCAAATAAAGTACACATAGATGGACCTCAGGAACTGCACAGAATTCAGGTTGTCCCATAATTTTTAGAAGGATATAACTCCCTATCTAGATCTACTTTAGAAAACAAGCAGAATCAATTATAATTATCTTTTTAAAGTTATATTTATCAGTTTCTGAATCCCATTTATCTGGTAACAGTTGTTCTTGTTTTGCAAAAAGATGAGATATACCGTATTTTTCTGTCTATAAAATGCCCCCATGTATAGGACACCCCCCTTTTCCTACCCATCTCCAGCAAACAAGATGCTGCCATGCATGCCCCACTTCGCTGCCCCACCGCGTCCCCTACAGTGTGCCCATGGCCCCCCGTGTATAAGACACACCTTCATTTTTAAGTAAATGTTTTTAAGAAAAAGCATCTTATACACAGAAAAATATGGTAACTATTTTAAATACACAGAGTTAATGCTGTAGTAGTGATCAATTTCCCATCTTTAGTCCCTTAGAAACATTTCATTGTGTGCTGCTTGCTGTATCTGACCACCACATAACATTGCAGCTTTAATTTTGTCTTTCCATCTTCCACCATGGGTTGGAAATGTGTGATCACTTTTGGCAATTGAGTTGGCTGTACTCTCTGTCATGTGCATGCACATGCATACACAGATATATACCCACAAGAATGATGTAAGCCATTTTCTGTACCTGCTTGAGGCCCCTTCATACTAATTAATTTTCTAGATATGTGTTTGGAATGGGAAGCTGTGTGTACCCTCTGCGTAAACCACTGCATGATAACCATATTTCTATTGTTCCGGGATCAAGGAGCAGGAATCCTTAATCAGTGGCTGATTGCTAGCATCTGTTCATGTAATAAAGTAGATATCAGTGTGTTCATCACATGTAACAATGCAGGGCACAATAGGTAATCTTTATCAAAACCTTTTTTTGTAATTTTGCCCAAGGTGTGCTGGTCTTTTAAACATCTGCTTAAGGTCTAGTCTGAGGTCTACATAATAATTCAGAAGGCTAAACTAATATGTATGGATTTTTATCCTCCTTTCAGCTACAGTAATTTGGGCCTTGGCCTACAGATGGCTGTTGGAATGCTTAAATGTTGACATTCTTCAGCAGTACCCAAATAAAGGCAAAATGACAAAACCAGATTGACCTAAAACCAACAGGCATTATGAATGGCAAATATTAATTTAAAATAGAAAAAAGGATTGAAAATATGTCTTTTTACAGATCTGGCTTTCAGAAGTTTCCACAAGTATTTCTTGTTATATTTTATTATTTAGAAAAGTAGAATATAACATGTTAAAATACTATAATACTCTACAGTTTATACAAATAGATAGTTCTCTCTGCTTCTATTAGCAAAACTGAACCTCTATGGACAAAATCAGTTTATCACTGAATACTAGGTATGCTGAGAAGAACGCCAGTCATCTTCATATCCTGTTTGTAAACTTCCCAGACAAATTTGGCTCAGTATAATGGGAAGTGAAAAGCTAAACTAGATGGATCTTGGTCTTACTCAACAAATCAATTGTTTAATGCACAATGATCAACCAATTTATTGTAGCTGGACTATATCATCTTCTCTCATTACTTTTGCAGGTAATAAACATGGATGGAACCATGAGAAAAACTCTCATAGAAGATAAACTTCCACATATATTTGGATTTACTTTGCTGGGTGACTACATCTACTGGACAGACTGGCAAAGGCGAAGCATTGAAAGAGTTCACAAAATAAGGGCAAGTAGAGACATCATCATTGATCAGTTACCAGATCTAATGGGCCTTAAAGCAGCAAGTGTCACCAAAGCTGTTGGTAAGCGAAGGCAATTTGTACTATGTCCTACAAAAACATTTTTCTAATGAAGACAATAGCCAATTTCTTGTAATGACAGTGGGCACTTATCTAGAAAATATTTTGAGCTGTTAAATAGTAAATACACTAGCCCAAAGAGTGTCATTCAAATGCTCCCTGTGGGTTCCTTGTCTCGACCAGCAAGGGAACCTTTGGAGAGTCAACTCCAAGTTTTCAGAGTTCTTGGATGTGGAATGAGTCTTCTTCTTAGCAATCCCCTAACTATCGCTTGCAGTGAGTTTGGAGATCAACTTTGTGTCTCTGTGAAAAATAAATTCATGTGAAGTTGAGGAAGGTCTGAACAAGGGGCTCTTATTTCACTGTTGGAAAGCAGGTGGCCAGTGTGCATGCATCCAAATGTGCATTTCTGCCTAGCCCCAGGGGCTTGTGGCTGCATGCAGCTTTAACTATCAGGAGTTTTCCTTGGCAGCAAAGGGAAGGGTGCATGCATAATCATGTGCCATGGCACTTTTTGTAATTAGGGGAGATGCAGGGAATGAACTCCTCCTTTGAGTTTCCAGCAAATATTGGAGTGACAATATCCTAAAGCATTGATAGGGACTCTTTCCTAACCTGCTTAAGCTCAGATTCCGATCCTGCCACTATTTTGGCAGATTACACATGGACGATTGTGCAACGAAAAGGCATCTTGTCCAAATAACATCTAAAATGATTATGTGATATTAGTTGCTTGGTTTCTTGGCAGGGTTTTCATAGTGCTGAGAAATACCTATTTTTCCCCTCACACTTTCTTTGTGGTTTTATTAGGTAAATGAGTAATTTATCTAGCATTCTTGCAAATGAGAAATGCATTGAACAGGCCACAAAACATACACTCTAGTAATACCTTCCCTTTTTAGCTCCTCAGTGGCAAAAGCACACAGTATTAGCTGCAGGTTCATTATGCTCTTTTGACCTAATTTTACATCTAGTGAGGCATTCCGTTTAATTAAGATGTCTGAAAAGGGCATACCCTTCATGTCTGCAGCTAGAAGCATCCACACTGCAGAAATATGGAAGCTTGCCCCCAGACTTGCCTTAACTGAGCACCCTGAAGATCCTTTCAGATGTTTGTGAAATCTGTCCTGGAAGTGAAACCTCCAATAGGGCATAGAGAACCAGTGAGACACAGTGGTAAGAGGATTGGACTAGAACTCACTCAAGAAAGCCAGATTCCAGTCCCTACTCATCCAGGCAACTTAGTGGTGGCTTGGGATCAGTCACTGGCTATCAACCTAACCCACCTTACTGGATCATTGTAAGGATAAAATGGAGAGATTTAGCAATGTATTATTGCTATACTGCTTTAGGTTCCTTGAAAGAAAAAGATGGAATATAAATATAAATAAATATAACCCTACCACCTCATCTAATGTTGTACTCTGCCCACAGTTAGGATTTCTTCAGGAGCCAAGTTGTCTCTATTGTAATTGCTGCCCATAGTCTACTGAAGGATATTTGCTGGCTGTAAGAAAGTGTGATGCAATTTCAAAATTTGCCCCACCTGTCCCCAAGTTGTTCAGAATTATCATGTTGGCCCAGAATCGCTTACATTTTGAAAAGTGGCTAGATCTTTGGAGATGTAATTCAAATATTTGGATTTGTTATTTTGGTGTTAAATATATAATTGGACTTTTCAGGCAGTTGAATAAAGACCTGGTTTGCTAAGCTAATTCAGACCTTTAGCAGAATGTATTTGCTGGAAGCTGGAATGTACTTGCCCTCTAAAGTTGCTCCCACATTGTACTAGAAGCTGGAAGTGGTCAAACGTGATATGGGGCATGTGCTGGCTGAGTGTTAACTATCGGTCTTGTGATTTCAGGTTAGGCTTTAACCTTACTTAAAGCTAATGGTAGTAAGCATTTATAAAGACAGGGTGAGGCATTTTTCACTTTCAAAACTGTTTCATATTGCCCTAGCAGTCCATACAACTATCCTGTACTATAAGTCACTACAATTCCTTATATTTCATGTAGGGAGCTGAGGCGGAAAGGTTTGTCAAAGACCTCCTAGTGAGTTTATGATTGAGATGAACTTTTAAACCAGGAGTGTCTACCTCTTACATGCAACAGATATGAGGGGGAAATGCTTGTAATCATTTTCCTACTCAGACTAATCATGGTTTGGGTTGAGGTCTGTTTTGAGCTCTTTTAGACATGTGAACAGTGCCAACACCCAAGTTTTTGAGGGTCCTTGGGCAAGGCATCCTTCTTAGGCCCCTTTTGCCTTTCCATCATTGTCTTCTTTTTCGTCATTGCTACCACTGGCTTGCTTGATAGGTAGAGAACCAGTGAGCCAGTAAGCAGTGAGCAAATATCATTCCTTGACTTCTCACCACCACCATTGTCTGGAACAAAGTGAGCAGAACATGAACAAGCAGATTGCAGTGGTAATGAGGAACAAGCCCAGGGGTCTCTTGTTGGGATGTGGGCTCTCAACATGCCACTCATGTTTGTCCTGCATGTGAGTTCTCTTCCCCAACCCTTGTAATGCTTATAGCAGTTCTGTCCTGGCCAATTCCCCACCCCCTTCAAACAACTCTTTTACATTCCAGGAACAAATCCTTGTGCTGAGAATAATGGAGGCTGCAGCCACTTGTGCTTCTACACACCCCAAGAGTGCAGATGTGCCTGTCCCATCGGACTAGAATTACTTAGTGATATGAAGACTTGCATCATTCCAGAAGCCTTCCTCGTCTTCACCAGCAGGGCAGCCATTCATAGGATTTCTCTTGAAACCAACAACAATGATGTAGCTATTCCACTGACAGGTGTCAAGGAAGCTTCTGCACTAGATTTTGATGTGTCTGACAACAGAATCTATTGGACGGATATTAGTTTAAAGGTATACATAGCATTTTAACTGAACAGATTGTTTTGCTATCCTACTGCACACAATTCAATCCACCATTTTCAGAACAACAGTCTTTTAATAAATAAGTTGACCTGTAAATCTTACAAAATAAAGCATGCACCATACAGGGGTGGGATGTGGTGGGGGCCAGTTTCTTATACACACTAAAATCAGTAAATATAGTTTGTAAATTTTGTTATAGGAATATGACAATAAGGATAAATACTTTTTGTCATTTTGTATGATTAGATAATGCCTATTTGCACATTAGTAGTAAAGTAGGATTTTTGAAAGCAGTGCTTTGGAACCAATTTTCCCTAGATGTGATTTTTCTCTTGGGTAATATCTTTAGTAAAAGAATGATTACTTAATTTGGTTTGTGCTCTGAAACACCTATAATATTCACCAAAACTGTTTTGCAGACAATAAGCCGGGCTTTCATGAATGGAAGTACAGTTGAACATGTGATTGAGTTCGGGCTGGATTACCCTGAAGGAATGGCTGTAGACTGGATGGGGAAAAACCTTTATTGGGCAGATACCGGAACCAATAGAATTGAAGTGGCACGCCTAGATGGACTATACCGGCAAGTACTTGTGTGGAAGGATTTGGATAACCCCAGGTCTTTAGCCCTTGACCCATCTAAAGGGTAAGGAAGATTCATTTTTTCTTTCAACATAATTTTATTAGAACAATGGTGGGTAGTGGGTTCAGCACATAGGCCATGTGTTATATGAAGGGCCACAACTAGCCCTTATGCCCTGTCAATTTTAATGGCTTTTATCAATCGGGCAGCCATTCTTTTGTGCATGGTAGATGAGTTATCTGACTGAGACTTCATGCCTGCTGATGTGACCAAGAGGTCAGGTATAGCTTGATGTCTTTGTCCAAACAGTTGACCTGCCTAAGGTTATGAAATGACTTTAAATAGTGTTTCTTGAAATATATATGTTGTTTTATAATTATTTTTACCATCTGTCTTCCAGTTTGTAGCCTTGCAGATACCTCTGTCTGTTACAGTATTCTTTGGATTGATAACTTCATGTTTAGATCTGTAATCTGCTGAAATAGGATCTTGGTCTGGAAGCTGCAATTGATTGAAAAGGAACTAGCCAAGAGGCTGACTGATATACCTTGGTTGTGCACTTACTGTGCTGTTATTAAAGCAACGTTACTGGCAGTCTAGTAGGTGCTGAGCCAGGTTCAAGTTTTATTAATTATTTAATTATTTTGGGTATCCTGCCGTTTACAGTGTCTCAGGGCAGTGCTGGAACAAATTATTAAAAATCAGTCTGCAAGCACCTCAAAGAAAATGCAGTGATTAATAAGAGCCAACCTGGATTTGTCAAGAATAAGTCCTGTCAGACTAATTTGGTCCCATTTTTTGACTTGGTGACCTCCTAAATGGACAGCAGAGACATTGTGGGCATGATCTACCTCAACTTTAACAGGGCTTTTAACATGGTGCCGCACAACATCCTGATAGGCAGGCTAGGAAAAAGTGGACTAGATATAAAAACTATTAGGTGAATTTAAAATTGGCTGCTAAATCAGACACAAGGAGTGCTCATCATGGCACCTTTTCAAACTGGAGAAAGATAGAGCAGAGGCAGAGGCCCTCCTCCAGGAAACCCCCTTGAGGGAGGTTAGGAGAGTGAATACCCGGAGGAGGGCCTTCTCCACGGTGGCACCCCGACTGTGGAATGCACTCCCCAGAGAGGATAGCCTGGTACCAACGTTATATTCTTTTCAGAGCTGGGTATTCACCTGGCATTTTAATATTTAAATGTTTTAACTAGTTTTTAATAGTCATGCTTAGTCACATTTTACTTATTTTATTATATTATGCTTGTTGTATTTGTTGTATTTATTTATTGTTATGTTTTACTATGTTGTAAGCCATCTGAGACATTTGTTAAAGATGGGGTAAAAATACTGTAAATAAATGAATAAACAAACTAGTGGGGTGCTTCAGGGTTCTAGGTCCAGGCCCAGTGTTCTTCAACATATTTATTGATGATTTAGATGACAGAGTATAAGGAATGATAATCAGATTTACAGATTATACAAAACTGGGTGGAATAGCAAACACCCTGGAAGACAGAATGCAGATCCAGAACGATCCTGATATGCTTGAATGCTAAGCTTAAAGCCACAAAATACGATTCAATAGGGACAAATGCCAAGTCCTCCACCTAGGAAAAAGAAAGCAAATGCATTGATGTAAGATGGGGAATACGTGGCTCAACAGAACTGAAAAAGAAAACAATCTTGGAGTTAGTATGGGTGACAGGCTAAATATGAGCCACTGGTGTGATGCAGCTGCAAAAAGGGCAAATACTATTTTTGAATGAATGACTAGAAATATTACTTCCAAGTCATGAGAGGTGGTAGTTCCCCTATATCCTTCACTGGACAGCACATCTAGAGTGCTGCGTCCAGTTCTGAGCACCAAGATATAAGAATGATGCAGAAAAAATAGAAAGGGTCCAGAGAAGGGTAACAGAAATGATCCAGGGTTGCCCTGTGAAGAGAGACTAAGAGAACTGGTTATGTTCAGCCTTGAGAAGAGAAGGGGGGGGGTGGATATGATATCACATTATAAGTACCTGAAAGGCTGTCAGAAAGAGGAAGGTCAAGATGTCTTCTCACTGATATCAGAATGTAGGCCATGGAATACTCAAGTTGCAACAACCCAGGTAGGATAGATATCAGAAAAAGGTGCCTCACTGTCAGAGCAATACGAGTGCTAGAGTGGTGGGAGTGTGGGAGAGGGCTCTCCCACACTAGAGACATTCAAAAAGAAACTGGACTGCCATCTGAGTGGGATTGTGTAACTTGGTGTCCTGCAACAGCAGAAGGGTTGGACCTCATAGCCTTCATGGCCCCTTCCAACTCTACTGTTCTTTGATTGTATGGAAGCTGTGAACAACTTGGGATCAGGTTATTTGGTAGATTACCTTCCCCAATATAGACTTGTTCAATCTATAAGATCAATGGAGGAGGGCTTGCTTCTGGTGCTGCAACCTGGAGATTGCCACCCAGTGGCCAATTACTTCACACTGGAGCCTGCTTTGTTCTGCCTCTCTTGAGAGTTGCCAACTGTGGCATGTTTAAGAACCCAGCTGAAGACCTGTCTTTTCACCCAGGCTTTCTTAGACTGAGTATGTGGCCCAATTTATTGATTATTAATTCTGTTTTTACATATTTGAATATTTTATCTTTGGTTTTAAATATTTCTGATTCTATTTTAAATACTTCAACTGTGGAAATGTTAATATTGTAAACCACCTCAATATGTCCTTTAATCAAGCGGTCTTTAAAATGGTTAAATAAATACATCTGTTCTCATATTGGTATGTAATCATGTCAATTAGAAACTTTTAAAAAAATGAAATCCAGCAGGAGTTTATAAGGTGCAAATTCAAAAATATGTTGATTGCTACCTACAACCCCTGGACTGATCATGTTTGCCCTCCCACCCCCTGGCTGCCCCTGCCCCGCTGCTCTGGTGTTAGAAATACTTGAAGTCAGATGAATTTATAAATAAGAAAGGTGATTACCAAATATGTTCTAAATAATCTTCTGCAAGTGCAAACTTGGATCCAGAGAACATCAGGTGCAAACCCAGATGGTTTGTGTATGTCAACCTGAGGTTTCACTGAGGGTTTTAAAAGAAACAAACCAATCTGAGCTGCTCATTGTATGGGGAGGGTTGGGACTGAGATGTGGCTCTGTTTACCCTCCGCCCTTGGCCATTCTAAGACATTTTGAAATTAACTTTTGTGTAATGAAGAACAAGATTCACCAGAGCTGTAGAATGAGCATATATGTTCTCTGTTGTACAGCTTTGGTTCTTTCCTAACCAAGATGTTTAAAGCCAGTAAAGCTGTATTAAAGGTTTTCTCTTTCAGCTTCCTTGGAGCCAAAACAAGCTAAGATGCTGTTGAAAGTTGGCCTTGCTGTCAATAGCACTGCACATTTTGTTAGTTGTGTCATTCTCAGATGTTTACATTCCTTATTTAGTTAAGCTGTGTAATTTCCTGCTGGAATCTCATCAGGGAATATGAAAGTGATTTACAAATATTACACTGTCAAACATATATTGTAAACCTTTGGAGTGAGCTATTGCATTTTCCTTTTGAATAAGCTCTTTGCTTGAATGTTGTGACAGTAAATCTAGGGGGTGTATTTGTTTTAGCTGCTTTTAGCAGTGCTAACATTTATTCATTTGCTCTCTTTTATATGTAATTTTGTGTCTTTTCAATTGTGTAATGTTTATTTTATCTGCATTTTATTATACTTCATGCAACTCCTAAGTGTAAATGAAAAGGTTCATCCTCTGTCATTTCTAGATAAAAGGAGCACATGACTAAGCATAGTAGCTTGGCTATTTGTCTCTCATTTGTGACAGTATTCAGCAATGCAGAATTGTTCCTCACAAGTACTGTTCTCTGCTCCTTCCTTTTTATAGCATAATACACTATTTTCAGTCCAAAAAGTATTCTCAGACTGGTTTAAAATATAATTTAAATTGCATAAACAATACAACAATAGAAACACAATTGAGCAGAACAGCAGGCAATACCAGCACAGGATAGAAATAAAAGTGAAGTACAAAAGAACTGGGAAAATTAAAAGGAGAGTTCACATAGCACTGAAAGGATGTCAAACTTGGTGCCAAGTGAGCAACCCTGAGGAGAGGATTCCAAAGCTGTGGTGCCACCACCAAATAGGCTGTCTCTTTGATTACCACTCACTTCACTTCTGCTGGCCTGGCAAGGGTACCCAAAGAAGGGCCTGTGAGAAAGATCTTAAGTAACAACAGGCTTACATGGGAGAAGGTGGAATTTAAGCTACCAGGTTCTCAACTGCATGGCTCAGCTTTGTAGGATGGAGTATTTGTCTTCTGATTAGATAGTTACTGCATTTTTGGCACCATGACTTTATCTGTTGGTGTCTAAACATATTAGAAAATTTGCAAGCTTTTAAATTGTTTATTGTTCTCTCTCATTAGTTCTGTGCAAATCAGAACCTTTGAATGCTCATACAAAAACCTTTGTCCTATAAGATGTAGCTGGGATCAATGTGGTGACTAATGTGTGCTGGTCCACCTCAAAACTTCTAAGATGCGCATTGAAAAATTACATGAATTGTACTGCTAATACTGCTGTTAATTACTGTTATGAATTACTTATTACAGGTTCATGTATTGGACAGAGTGGGGAGGCAAACCAAAGATTGTCCGAGCATATATGGATGGGTCAAACAGCATCACTTTAGTAGATAAAGTGGGACGTGCCAACGATCTTACTATTGATTATGAAGATCAAAGACTCTATTGGACTGACTTGGACACAAGCATGATTGAGTCATCAAATATGCTAGGTAGCATAACAGATTTTTTCTTAAATTTAAGTGGCAGAGTGCTTCTAGCCCAGGAATTCCACATACTCAGTCTAGGAGTTCCAAACTTCAACTTTTATTGTTGTGTGGACTACTTTTTACACTTAGTCTTTGTTACACTTAGGCTGCAATCTTTGTACACTTACTTGGGAGTTAATATGAAATTGGGCATACTTCTGAATGGACAGGCATAGGTTTGGTCTGTCAATATCCTATAAAACCTTGATAGTAGAACTTAGCAGTTAAGAAAAAAGAATCATGTACCTGAAACCTCTTCCAATTTTGCCAAAATAGGCAATAGCAATTCATGCAGTCCACTTGCTTATTGTTATGTTCTTGTAAAACTGAATTGGGTGTAACTTAAGTCCCATTTGTTTCAATGGATGTATTCTAAATAGGGTTATCACATTATGAAGAGGAGGGCTTATCCTTCCCTTATCTGTGTAGATTTTGGGCACTGCCACAATGGAAGTGATGTGGATGAGGAAGGCTTAGTTTTTGTTTTCCAAAAGAGCTGAGAAGAACTGCCATTGCTGTTTGAAAGAGGATGAGGGCACCAAGGCTGGAATGTTTTTATGCGTTTCCAGATAGAATGAAGTTCCTGAACAGTATCACCACCTGTCATGTCTCTTGGATTCTGAGGCTTGGAGAAAAGGATCCTAAATTGATAACTTCACAACATAGGAGCAGAGTTGCACAGAGTGGGACTTTTTTTTAATCTAATGGGCCTCTAGGATGGTCCTAGTGGAGGCTGCAGCAGCTGCTTGCTTTTTATTTGAACCTTTATATGAGAAGCTTGATAGGGGAAAAGGTGCACTAGTCTTATCCTCTTTACTCTGCCTTTCGCATAATTTTTTGTGCATGTTGAACATTTATATGGAGGCCCTGAATCTTTGCATGCCTGCCATTAAGGAAAAGTGCTCCACATTTGGAAGCCCCAGCAGTGCTCTTAAAAGCCACAGGTGACGCTTGCTGCAAACACAGCAGTCCTGCGAGCAGGGCTCGTTCAGAACCTTGCTGTGTTGGGACTTGCAAGCGAAAGCACACTTTCTAATCATGAGAGGAGGAGGAAAATGCCCTGCTTACACTCTGTAGTGACAATGAGCCAGTTCATGAGTAACAAGTTTCCATGGATAAGCTTCCCCATGGGGCTTTTCGTTGCAGTGCTGGCTACCATTTTGAAAATTGAAGCGGTGGCATGGAGTGTGCCTCATTTCTTAAGGGCAAACTCGGCAAGGGTGGTTAGCAAGACACCCACAACCCTAAAACAGGCCACGGATTCTCTGTTGAACTTTCAAAATGCAAAGTGGCAAATCCTATACAGTGGCTTGTTACATGTGTGAACCAGGTCATAGTCTCAGAAGCTGCCTCTGAGGTTATTGAGGAACCTCTTTCCCCACTGGATACGTTCCAATGGAGCAAAGCTCAGGGAACCAAGATTCAAGGTGGATGACAAGAAGTACTTTCTGATGGTTAGGACTCCTAGCGTATGGAATGGGCTTCCACAGGAGGTGGTTGAAGCTCCATCGGTGCGGGTGTTTAAGGATAGGCTGGACATGCACATGGTAGGCATGTCATGTGTGGTGCCGGCTGGAACTGGAGATCAGACTAGACAGTCCAGGAGGCCCCTTCTGACTCACTCTATTTCTGTGTTTCTAATCCAGCACTGTTTTAAAGTGTTATCCAATGGGTGCAGCCTAGGAAGGGGTGGGTGGTAATTGCAGGTCAATTACCAAGAGGTGCACCTCCTGGTAATTAATAATTAGTAGTGACAATTTGAAGTCCCATAAATTCAAATTCAACATGGTTTGGTTTGGTCTTTTCCATGGCAGTCTTTAACTATGTGGGTACCAAGTTTCAGTAGTTGTGTTTATTAACAATGTATGGATCGTGTTTTTCAGGACAAGAAAGGAAAATAATAGCGGATGATCTGCCTCATCCCTTTGGGCTAACTCAGTACAGTGACTTCATATACTGGACAGATTGGAACCTTCACAGTATAGAAAGAGCTGACAAGACAAATGGGAGAAACCGGACACTAATTCAGGAGCGTCTGGATTATGTGATGGATATATTGGTTTTCCATTCATCACGACAGGATGGCCTTAATGAATGCGTGCAAAACAATGGGCACTGTGGACAGTTGTGCCTAGCCATACCAAATGGCTACAAATGCGGTTGTGCTTCTCATTACACCTTGGATCCCAACAGCCGGAACTGCAGTTGTATGTTTATCTTTTTTTATAGTTTCCTAAATACTTGCAATTCTTTTAAATCCCAGGTTTTACTTGTAGCATGCATCAAGCCCTGAGAGTCACGGCTAACGGTTGGTACAATAGAAAAACAGAATCAAACCCTGGTGTAAAAAGAAAAGCCTGACAGAACACAGATAAAAAGATAATCTAAACTCTAGAAGAAAGGAGGTCCACAATTATTTATTTATTATTTCGATTTTTATGCTGCCTTTTTCCTACAAAGGGCTCAAGGCAGTTTACATCTCCTCTTCCATCTTATCCCCACAACAACCCTGTGAGGTAGATTGGGCTGAGAGTCTGTGACTGGCCCAAAGTCACCCAGTTGGCTCCATGGCTGAGCGGGGACTAGAACCCAGATCGTCTGAGTCCCAGTCCCACATACAGGTTTTTTGTGATTGCCTCCCTCAGAAGGGCTATGGATTCATTTCTAAAGAAGCTTCTCAACTTTTGGGGTTCTGTTAGGGTTTCTGACTGATGCTATTTAGACAGCAAGACAGTGATAGAGCTATTAACCACAACTGTAACATTTAATCACATCTGCTGTACCTTTCTGAGATTTTACACTTGGAGATGTGTAATAACTTCAGTCCCAGGTTTTCGAGGAAAGTATCACTTAAAACCCCTAACAAAGAAGAAAAGAACTCTTTAAGTGTTCAGTCCTATGCTTGCTTAGATAGAGACACCTGCCCTTTGCTGTCTAAACAATCATAGGATTGTGCCTTAAACTCCTATTTAACTGATCAGTATTTAAACATCAGTATTATGATTCTAGAAGTGTCTTTGTCTAAAGTAAAAGTGCCCAGTTTTAGTATTGCTAATTTTGTACCTAGTATTTGGAAAATGATGACTTTGTAGCTTCTTATGCCAGCTCACCTGTTCCCTCTCAGCAAATGAGCAGTGGCAGTGACTGCAAGTGTGAGAAAAGGGAGCAGTAGCCTCTGTTGCCTTGCCCTTACCTTCTCAGTGACTACAAGGAGCTGGCCCCAAAAGAATTGGGAAAGCTGGCAAGCAAACATGGAGCTGCAACAACACCAAGGTGCGCCCACCCAGGGTCCATGGAGGGCATTTTGCCCAAAGGTTCCCCAAATCTGGGAGATGGTGATACATAAATTGAAGAGGTTTCCAGAAGCTTCTAGGCCCCATAGGCACAAGTTACTCCATAGCACAGGCATTCACTGTTCAGTTATGAGTGGGCTTGTATCCATTTCTGCATAGGCCCCATTGAATATTGTAGGCAGAATAGTAATACTGCATGGCAGTCTGAAATATGGTAGGCTTAGCAAATATGTATATTGGAAATCTCTCTGGGAATTTATTTGCAAAGTGAGATAGAAAGCTCCAGAATGAATTCAGTATATATTCCTTCTTTAAAATAGTATTTTTAAAAACCTGAAATGTACAGTTGTGTGACATTAAAAGGTAAGAGATCTTAAAAGTCTTTAAAATAGCATGACTCAGTGACAGAGTAATTGTTTGATTTAAATCATCATATTTCTAATACTCTTTTGCTTTTTTGTTGTGAACTAATTTTTATTTATATTGTGGTTTACAGTATTTTCTTCAGCTACTCAGATATTCTTGAACTTTTCAATTGTGCAAAGCCAATAGCAAAACATACATTGACACTACTTATTATTCTTTGACATTTTCATAATTATAGTTATTGATGCTTCCAGGGTTTTCACCCACTAAGGGCACATTCTAAGGTACGTTTAGACAGAAGAATGTCCTATAATTCCAAGGATTCTTCAGCCAGCCATGTGCCCTTCGTATATTATATCAGTGTTTTTATATGTGTGTTTTTTCTGTTCTTTTAGCACCCAGCAACTTCTTACTTTTTAGTCAGAAATCTGCAATAAGTCGGATGATACCAGATGACCAGCAGAGTCCAGACATCATTCTTCCTATTCATGGACTAAGAAATGTCAAAGCTATTAATTATGATCCCTTGGATAAATTAATCTATTGGGTAGACGGACGTCAGAATATTATTAAAAGAGCCAAAGATGATGGCACTCAGGCAAGTTTTTGTATCATCATGTATGTGTATATGAAACTTCTATCAACTGAACATTTGTCAGAATCAAGTTTACAAGTATGATGTGCAATACAATGTTGCCATGAATCTCCACCCACTAACTGAAGTGCTTCTATTCAGGTTTTATAGCAATCTGGATCTGAAATCTTGTGCTGTACAGACTTCTTAAGGGAGGAAGTGGTCTGAGGAGTGGGAAATAGGATTAAAAAAAAACAGGAAGACCTTCTCCTGTTGTGTTAGAGAACTGCCTCCCCAAACCAGTGCTTTAGAGTGAGGCAGCACATAGCTCTGGAGTGTGAGGAAGGGAAACTATGAATGGAAGCTTTTCATCAGCACTCTCTTATGAGCAAAGATGGCGGGCAGAGGGAGGGAGAATAATTTAAGGCCCAAGCTTGCTGGTTTACTTGTTCTTATCTTCAAAACTTCTGGATGCAGCCTCGGGCTATTTGCCTGTGCCTATCTCTTCTTTCATACAAGCAGGTCTTGCACTACCACCTGCTAAAGTGATAAAGTGAGTGAAGTAGGAAGAAAAAAAGCATTTCATTGTTTTTCAATAGAAACCCTTCCATGCCATTTCTAAATTGACTTAACAGGTGAAAACATCCAAGGTACTAAAGAACCAGGTTGTTGCCCCAGATCTTAGGATTCAGAAAGAAAGCTGAAAGAGCTCTTTCTCTCTTCCTGCCACACATTTGTGTCAGATTTATACTTTAAAGATTTTTTTTATTTTATGGGGACCTAGTTGGTCTTAATTGTAATTTAGTATTAGCACTGATAATAATAGTTTAAATACAGATAGGGCAAAGGAAAGGACTTTGTTCTGGGATGGGCTTGGGGGAAGAGAGCACACAATTTTGCTGCTAATATTAAACTGTAGATAGTGGAATCCCTTCATTGTAGGGACAGTACAGTAGTTGCTTGACAGATACGGCATCTCACTGGGCTGTTTCTTGAACCCTGTTGGTTAACACTGGACTAAATTATATTGACTCTTACTATATGGGATATGACCTATATTTCCAGTATGTCTCCCACCCTATAATCGAATCAAGAATATAATCCATGAGCTTCATAGATACGAATGAGCAACGAGTTTCATATAAGAATGTTCAGTGCTTTTTTTTTTAAAGAAAAAGAAAGAAAAAGTACCATCTGGGCCAAAGTGATTAATGTTCTGTAGTATTTTCTTGCCAGATAATGAATTATTGTTTGTAATAAGGAGGGGACTTGTAGTGTCAAGCCTATTCTTTGAGGGATGCCTGCCAGGCGTTAATTGCTGAATGGCTTCCCATCAGTGGCCCTTCCTAGGTGCAAATTGCATTGGAGACTGCTTGTTATAACCCAGCTTCTTGTACAGCATAGGCCAAAGAGTTTCAGTGATTGATGAAGTACCTCCATGGGACATTTTGGTATCCAAATTTACAGTTTTAATTGTTTCGTGATTTTTGCTACCTCATGTTCCAAATAATTATGTTAATTTGAGGGTTTTGAACGTTAATAAGCATCCCTGGATATTAGATTGCCATGATTGTCCTTTAAAAAGCAGTAGTTCTCTTAAATTTTATTATATAATTACAAAGATGTTTGATGGCTTACCTCTCGTACATCAGTACTGTTCCTATAGGTTTTTAAGCCATGCTTGGATCAGATGACTTAAACCTGCAATGATGATGATATGCACATTTCCTATACCATTTCCCATCTGCACAAATTCTAAAGCAGTTTACAACACCACCAGAAAACAAACAATAAAGTAATATAATAAACAAAACAATATAATTAATACTCAGAAATACAATAGTATTAAAGATTGTTCGGAAGAATTTATGGCTTGGGAAAAGCCAAAAAGACAAATTTTCAATAAATGCCTAAAACATGCCAGCATTGAGGCCTGATGCAGGAGGAGAGGAGGAAAGATAGTACCAAAGAGTGAGTGCCACCACAGAGAAGACCTGTCTCTGCACTACTGCCAAATAGAAATCTGTAAGATATGGCATAAAGAGGACCCTTTTCCCCTGAAAAAGTATATTGATCTGAAAGGTTGGTATAAGATAAAGATGGTTATCAGAAGAAGTACAACAACATATTTCTAATGCATGCAGTATAAATTTACATGTATTCATTGTTTCTTCCATAACCACCTTCTGTTGTTTATAATTTGTAGTACATGAGGTAGCATATTTTTTAAAAAATCTCAAACTTACAAATATACTTCCTGGTGGATACCATCCTGAAAAGAGGAATTTTGTCTTCCCTCTATCAGCTGGAAATGCCTCACTGAAGATGAGGCAAAGGGGTCAAGAAAAAATGGCATTTCTTCAGAACTACTCTTTTTAATGAATCAACTGAGGTTGTCTGTAACCCTGTTCACACTTACATGGGAATAAGTTATGGAATTTAGTGGAACTTGCTTCTGCTTACAAATACGTGGGATTGTGCCATTACATTCCGTTAATCATGTGACAGCCCTAGTTAGCAGATTAGCTTTATACTAAGACTTATTTATTCTTTTTTCCTTCCCCTTGCAGCCTTTCACAGTCATGGGTACTCCCAGCCAAAGCCAAAATACAGAAAAGCAGCCACATGACTTGAGCATTGATGTTTTCAGCCACACTTTGTACTGGACCTGTGAAGCCACGAATACAGTCAATGTGCACAGACTCAATGGGGAGCAGATTGGGGTTGTGCTACGTGGAGACCATGACAAACCAAGAGCCATTGTAGTGAATGCTGAGCGAGGGTGAGAATTCTTTGATTTTGTCAGAATTAATGCAGTATCCATATTCTGTAGAGCTTTATTAAGTTGAACAGAGCCTGAAATTTATCGTTTGTTCTTGTCTTTGGAAGGTTCAGTTTACGTAGCGTTGCCAGGTAATCTGCCTTCATTAGGCCACTGACGACAACATGCAGCTGTAAAAATGTGATAGCTTTTAGATTATTTCCTGGGATGCATTAAGCCTTAGTCCTTGAGAGGCAGTGCTTATGTTTGTTCTTAAAAATTATATTCAGAGTAAAGACATGATCTTCATTGGTATATATCCTATCATTTGTATGGTGTCTGCAAAGGAGGCATGACTCAGAAATGAGTGAGGGGAATCTCCCAAACACTCTCTTCTAGCTGCAATTATACATTTTAATTTACAAGCAAGATTCTTACTAATGTTAGTGGGGTTTTCCTTCACCAAAGGGCTCGTAAAAGAAGGTATTGTTTAATCAGACCTGGAAGCTGAGCAGTAAAATCCTACCTGGGAATACCTTTTCAGAATTTCCATGCCAAGGTGCAGCATGAGAAGGTGATTATAGATTTTATCTTTGTCCTACAAAGCTGTGTTAACTGAGTCAATGGTTGTTCATACTTGTTATCAGATATATGTATTTCACCAATATGCAAGAACGAGCCCCAAAGATTGAGCGTGCGGCCTTGGATGGCACAGAACGAGAGGTGCTCTTCACCACTGGCTTGCTCCGGCCTGTTGCATTAGTGGTTGACAACAAGATCGGCAAGCTGTTTTGGGTGGATGCAGATCTCAAGAGAATTGAAAGCTGTGACTTGTCAGGTGTGTTCTATTTTCTTTCACTCATGAACAGCTTAAAGAGTGTAGGCCTCTTCTTTTTTGTAAAATGTCCCAGGACTTTTCTTCGTCTCTCTGTTGTAATTTCTAGCAACTCACAAAATAATTGGGTGGAGGGGAGATTTTTAGTATCATATGTAGGATACTGATTTATCATAATACAATTCTGTGCAGTGTTTGCTGATGCGGTAATACGTATTCCCCTAAAGCAGGCTTTCTGTTAACAAGTACAAAGTCCCAAAGCTGCTAATATAATTCACATATTATTTATCAACTTTCCTGCTTTTCTCCTTTTGTTTTTGTCATTAAGCTGCTGGAGCAAGGGGGATACACTTGGCATATGTTTTTGCTCAGACGTTTCAGATACCAGGTTGACACTGCAGAATGAGATGTGATGGTAGTAATAAATCATTATTATATTATCCTACTTTTCTGATTTTGTATGCAGAAGAGCTCACTGTAAGTACATAAAGAAGTGATGGATAACATGTGACCTGCAGGCTGCATGGAACCTCCTCCTTCATACACCCCCTCGCTCACTGCTGGTGTGGCCCCTGCTGCCACGTTGCTAAAAGTTGTGGGTGCACCTTAGAAAATGAAATGGCAGCTTAGCATGAGAATGAGCTATATCTGAGCTATTTACCTAATATCTATCCACTCAGTTTTGGCCTCAAACAGTTATTTTTTTAAAAACCGCCATTGTCAAATTATCCCTGTGGCAGCCCTTGAGCCCTCTGATCCAGAAAAAGTGGCTCTCAGACAATGCAAAATTGCCTCCTTCTGTCATAAAACAAAAATCAGTACAACCATGCTAAAAATCAAAATAACCAACAGCAGTTATATGAAATATCAAATATACTGTTAAAAAGAAACAGTAGCTAATGCCTACCAAAACAGAATTGTCTCCAGTTTCTGGAAGAAGACCACTCAAGGGGACAGGGGAATGACATATTTCAATTGGAAGATCATGGTAACGGTTTTAATGATCATGCATTTATATGAAGATAGTTGGGGATTAAATGTCAGATTCATTCATTTACTTACAGGGACATTTTAAAAATAGAGTACTTTCATATGATCTTCTCCAAACTAGTTCCCTCTAGATATTCCTGAGCATTTGCTGTGATAGCTTAGACTGATAGGAATTGAGGTTCAAAACATCTGGAAGACTGATCTAGGAGTTGGACTATGATGCCTCTCTACTTCAGAAGTTTATTGCCAGATTAATTGAAATAGTGAACATTTTAACAACATTTCTACACAACAGGAATCTCAGTCTTCTGTGAAAACTTGCATAGGGATTTCCAGAGTAGTCATGTTGGTTTGTTACAACAAAAACAATAGAGTTATGTAGTACCCTAAGGCTACCAGAAAAGGTGCAGTTAACGTGCCATAAGATTCTTGGTTGTTTATGCATTAGTGAGTAACCAGAATGTGATGTACACATTTTACACCTTGGATACATCTCAGTTTAAATAAACCACCATGGCTTATTTTGATCATGTGAACCAGTACTGTCTGTAGTGTTTGCATTCAGTGCCTGACAACACAGTTTGCATCATCTTATTCACCCCCACATATTTATATAAATTTGCCAATTTGAGATTAACATGCATCTGATTAAGTGGATAGTGTCCACAAAAGCCTATGGCAGAATTATATGTTAATCTTTAAAGTGCCCCAAGACTTTATTGCTTTTTCTGCACCAGACTATCACAGCTACTTCAGTACAAAAAATGAAGTGTGGGTTATACTTAGCAGTGACCAACAAATGTGATATTAATGGAAATTCAGCCATGAACGTGGTCTTGCTTAGGTATTTAATGTGAATTAACTGTGGCAAGTCTACAGAAAAAAAATACTCGATAATGATTAAGATTAGGAGACCAAAGACAAGGCGCTGTTGGTATAATCATAAGAAGAAAGGGCATCAGGATAAAAGCAAATTGTAATGTTTATTAAATAGGCAGCATGTACCACATATTATGAGTCTGATTTATGTGTGATCATTTTATTGGAACTCACACAGACAGTACTTCTTTTTGTTCATAAATTAACACACTTGTTCTACAAATAGCATGTTATATCTTGCCAGCAAAGGAGACAAAATTATAGATTGGTTTAAAATGTCCCATGCAAACCATATTGATATATACAAAGCTACATATACTGATCTGCCTTAAATTAAAGGGTAATGGCTTGAATCCTAAGTTGTTAACTAGTTCCACAAGAGTGTGCCCATGTTCTGAGGACTTTTTCTTGTTTCTTCTGTGGTGAGCTTCTATTATCTTTTGAAACTAAGGAAGCTTTCAAAAACAGATTGCAATAAGTCCCACTGGTCATGCCTAGTCCTTGAGTGCACCTAAAGTAACTCTTTGGATTCTAGCCAATGTGAATTAATGTCTGTCTTCAGAACATATGAGTACTAGGTTTTCAGGGAAGTAGTGCCTTGAGAAACTGCATGGAGCTTTCTTGAAAATGCCTACCCTTCAGATGTTTCCCTCTCTTTAATGTAATTTCTGTACCATGTAGTTCTCCTTTGTACACTGTAATCTTTTGAATCAATTTAATAGCAGCTGTGGTAAAAAGAAATGTTATGTTTGCATGCCTGGCTGAGCTCCAGGAATTTTATTCAGTGCATTAGCTTGGTTGCTTGTTTATTAGCATATTGCACTCTTGTACCCACAGTGTAATTTTATTCTGTGTCCATTACAAAGTCAGAACAGAAAAAGCAATGTTGACATAAAGACCCAGTTTGCATGATCAAGCAACCCAGCACAAGTTGTTTAAGCCTCAGTGGGCTGTAATGCATGCCAAATGGGATTTGTGTATTCAACACCCAGCAGTGGCTCATCGTGTCATGCAAACCTAGGCTTAAACAACCCCCACATAACAAACCATGACATGAGAACTGTGAGCCAACACTGAATATTTGAAATGGTTGACTACATGCACTGTGGCCCACATGGTTTAATAAGCCATGGTAGGCTATTTGATCATGTGAACCAGCACAGGGTATTCTCTCACTTTCACACAGGTATTCTCTGTCTCACTCATACACGCATACTTTTGCACAATCATTTGTACCCTTTGAAAGAGGAAAACTCCTCACAACAGTCAACAGGGTGTCCAAAGTTGATTAGTTTATTTTGGGAGAGTCACCTACAGTGGAGCTACGGTCATTGCTACCTGCTGGCATTCCCATTTCTCAGAGACTGTCCCAATGGGAATGAAGCTTTGTCATGAAATTATACAAGAGCAGCTTCTGGTATTGCCAAATGTTGCAGTGCAGCATAGCTGGAAACGCCAGGTGACGGAAGGTGGTACTGGAATGATTGGGGTGTGCCTTTTCTGGCAATATAAAACAATTTAGGTTGATTCTTAATATGATGTGATGTATATTAAAGCTGCTGAAAAAAAACCTACAGAGAACCCATGTTCTCATCCACTTTTACCCTGCTCACTAGTGAGGACAAATCATATTCAATAAGAGAATCTTGTTGGGAATCAAAGTTTAAATTAATCAAATTGAGAGAGAGAGTCTAATATAACTAGATGTGTGATTCTGTAGTTTTGCAGCATGTCTGTGTATATCATGATTAAAAACCTGTCTAAACCTCTGTTGCTGAAATCCCTGTGAAACTGTGTATTCATCTGAATCCATGGAACTGCAGCATTCTTGGAAGCCCCCCAGTTTCCTCCCACATCCTAGTACAGACACACCCTTCCACAAGTCAGTCAGTACTTCCAGATCAGAGGATGCTGATCATCTGTTTGGCAGAGGACATGAGACCTGCACTGATTTTTCTGTGGATCAGGATATTGATGCAATCTTCCCCACATCTGCTTTGAAGGGTAGTGTCCCTTGAGGCAGGCAGACTTATATCTCATTTTAACCTCTTACTGCTTACTTTCAATGTTGCTCATACTTACGTAGCTTCCCTCTGATCCATACCTTTCTGACATGAACTTTGTATGTGGGTCTAGAGAATAGGATAAAAAAAGTTCACAAATGTTAGCCACATGGAATGGTGCTGCAGATGGAGGTAAGGTATTTTAACTGGCCATATACTCAGACCAAATAGACAGCAAGATCAATTGTAAGATTTTACGTTTTAGTGAAATAGGCCACTTGGTACTCACAGGCATGGTATCCTATTTGAAAACCTTGAACAAGAATTACTTTATGTCTAGGAATGTTGACCATGGGGTCGCGATGGGTCAGGCATGACTTTACAAATAACATAACTCTACATTCATGTTTTTAAAAAGTGGCCAAAAGTCTTCTGAGAAATACAGACACTGTAAATCTCATAATGCTGAACATGTTTCCCCCTCTTGTTTCCTGCATCTATTGTATCTGAGCCTTCTGTGTGTAGCTCATTTCCGTGTATCTATTGGGATAACTTCTTTTCTCCTTCTGCTGCATAATTAGCCTCAAATCCACTTTTATAGCAGAGGTTTCCTAAGATCACTATATGCAGATAGTGTTTAGATTTACTTCCTTAATACTTCTGTAGTGGGCTCCTGTATCTGCCTACATATCTGTTGTATCCCCGTAATTTAAATTGTGAACCCTTTGGGTAAGGATTCTTTGCTTCTGTGATATGTATAATACTCAGAAGGCTGACTTTGCAAAGCAAAGATTACAGTAAAGTTTAAAATAGTGTTTTTTATTGTAAAGTGAGGGAGCGAGGAATAACGAAGGTTATATTTTATTTCAGGAGCGAACCGCGTGACATTACAAGATTCCAACATTCTGCAGCCGATGGGTCTGACAGTATTGGGAAATCATCTGTATTGGATTGACCGCCAGCAGCAGATGATAGAAAGAGTTGAGAAAATCAGTGGATACAAGAGGACCAGAATACAAGGTCGAATTGCTCACCTTACAGGCATTCATGCAGTTGAAGATATCGACATGGGGGAATTCTGTAAGTTTATCACAATGCTGCATGCTTTCAGATGGTTTCCCTTTCATTAGTCGAGAACTTTAAGCAGATATTGTTGGCATTATCTAGCATGTAACATTTGGTAATTTTTAAACTTTACCTAAGGAATATTAAATTAATTGCTAGAAAAACACAACACATTCCTACTCTACCCTACATTCCTGCACTGTAGTCAGACAAATACTTTATTGGGTCAGAAATTGTACTTAGTAGATATAACAGTTCAGAGCAGTGCTTGGTTGGGCTTTGCCAGCCGGTCATTGGACTTTGCCTGGACTGTCTCAAGCTGCCAGCAGGAAAGGGAAACAGTACCGCATGGGCACAGTGAAACAGCAGGTTTCCATTTCCAGGCTAAAATTGAGTTGCAAGTCCTGTAAGCTAATTGTTGCTGAGTAAAACTCAGCATAAATATACAGGTTGTGATCATAAAGATCTAAAGATATCCATTTATTTTTGACCTCCTGCTCTAATGAAGGACTTGCCACTTATGAAACCATATCAACAATAAATATATGAGTCTCTGTAAAGATTAGCTCCCATCTTATTCAATTACAGTACTCTAATTGGAAGCCACTTGTAAGAGTGTGGCACCTACCATGAACTAAGTAGCAGGTTTCATTTGTAAGTCCGAGGTTCAAGCAAGGAGGCATTTCTGTGTAAAGACAAATACATGTTTATCAGTCTCATAAATGTATGACATCTTGTTTTCCTCTTTTACACTCCTTTATTCATTAGTTATTGACTAGTGTCCTTACTCCACACCAGGCCCTATCATGCCATACCATACTGAATTCCATGCCTCTTTCCTATGAGACTATCTCTGACAGAGCAGATGGATAGCAAAAACATAACTATTTTAGTTGTGTTTTTCTCCTTTCAGTAAAACTCCCTATGGTTGCTGCTGTCCATGAATACATCTGCCTTTTGATCACAGGTGATATGCTAAGTGCAGGAAACTGAGGAATTAATATCAGTAGTTATATTTAGGGCCCTACAGCCTTGCAGCTTGCATCCAATTAATGTTCACTTGGAAATAAGTTTCATTAATTCATTAGGAATTCCCCCAAATGGACAAATCTGGAGAATGTTATAAAGGGAATTTAGCTCTAGCATTGTGTTACTGTCACTCCTACTATAAGATCTCTCTCTCTTTAAATCTAATATTGGGAATTTTAACTATTAAACACTTGTAGGGTGCCTAAAATTTAGTAAGCACTGAACCCAGTCAATCTTTGTCCACTGGACTACAATCCAGGACACAGTCCCAGAGGAAAAGGAGATGGGGAGGAAACAGGATAACAACCTTAAGCACAGATTCCTGAAGATGCACTTTTCTTACAGTGGCCAGCTTGAATGGAAATAGTTCTAGGAGGAAGAGTCAATGCGGCTCTTTCACAGTTAAGTTGATGGAGTAGCTCATCTCTCCATCCAGTTGAGCCAGTTAAAATGGCTTATATTAGTAACCAGACACACAGCTTTGTTCAGTTCCTTTAAAATATAAATGTTATATGAAAACCATTCTAATCTCTAAGGTGATATTTTTTCCTCCTCATCTTGTCGAACTGCTATCTTTGTATGTAGCAAAAAAGAAAAATTAATTCTGATCCAAAGAGTATAATTATGATGTAAGACTTTGATGCAATTTGATCATTTATTTATAAAAGCACTCTGAACTGTGTTCTTATCTAGTAACAGCGTTTAGCACTGCACTTTTAAAGCAACAAACAAGTAAAGTTGTTTTCCTTTTCTTTAATTACAAAGCTGCCCATCCATGTTCCCGGGACAATGGTGGATGTTCACACATCTGTATAGCGAAAGGAGATGGAACTCCAAGGTGCTCATGCCCAGTTCATTTGGTACTTCTCCAGAACCTTTTAACATGTGGAGGTAGGTGGCCTAAATGGAAACTTTTCATATGTGAGTACAGTAGATAAAGTTTTTCTTAGGCTTCAGTGGTCAAACATACACAGATTTCATTCTGCTATAGGCTTTAACAGTTTGCCAAACAGAATTCCATGGTTTATTGTTTATGTACCTTGGAATTTTATTTGTGTGAGCCATCCTGAGGCTCTTGCAAAGGATGGCATACAAATATCTTAAATAAATAAAAATAAACTGAAAGGGTACAGTTCCCTTGCTGTTGAGCAGAAGTGCACACACTCAAACTCTGATTGGGATATGAACAGGGGAACTCACAAACCAAGTTCTCACACAGAAGTTGCAACTTGTCATGACCTCCCTAGCTATGACAATGAAACCAATGATAATTCTTTCATATCTTTGTTGGAGGAAGAGAGTTAGTAATATACATTGTTTTGTATATAGGTCACAGAATGGTGTTTGCAGTTGTATGACAGGTTTCTTATGCTTGGCATGGCATGGCAGTAGAATGGAAAGGGAAATGAGAAGACACAAAATTGAATATGATTTTCCCCATCACATTTATAAAAAGCATTTTTGTCAGTTCTTCTTTCACCCACTCTCTTCTCAAGCTAGTCACTGTACATTCCCTGTCCTGAATATAACTGACATCTAAATAAAATAATCTGCACATCTTATTTATTTATTTATTTATTTATTTATTTATTTATTAAAACATTTCTATGCCGCCCCTTGCCAAGGCCTCGGGGCGGCTTACAACATCGAATACAAAATACATTAAAACAATGACAATTAAAACATCTATGGGGAGTTTCTGTCAGTGACTTTTGTTGTTGTTGATATCATTTCTATACTCCCCCAAACCATTCTGAGCAGTTGACAACAATCCATAAAAACAAGATAATAAAATGCAGTAAAAATAATAAAATCAAATAAATATTTGAAATACTAAAGCAACAAAGAATGACCCTGTAAAAATACCTAGGATGGGTAATTATTAGAAAGCATTTCTACTTAAGATGATTTTTGATGGTTTTGCACCCATCCACTGCAGCCCTCCCCTCCCTCCCACCACCCCAAAGGTGTTCCTGAGAATAAGAGGGCTGTGGAACAATGCAGGTTATGGCACATTCTGCTGAAGTACTTAAAACAGCAAAAAATGGATGTCTTGTTTTGTGTGAGCAGAAGTACTTTGTGCTAGCACGGAACTGCTTTTGATGGCCTGTGTTTAGTTCTTTGAGATATGATTTAATCTTCCGAATAAACTAATAATGGGCCTCTTGAAGAGCAAAAGGATTCTTCTACTTTAGAAGAGCCTTGAATTTAACGGTCCTTAGCTTATATGAGTTTACATTTCATGTAAAATTAGTTACCTACTTAGAACATTTACTTCAAAGTTTTGAATATAGCACTTGGGTCTCTATACTTTTTTCCTAGAAGTTTCAAAATTGTTATTTCTTATTATGATCGTGGTGAAGCAATTGCTATAAAATAGCATTCAAATCAGATGTCTTGCACATCCACAGCAAGAACTGCACCAGTAAAAAATGTATTTGGTTCCAGTATAGGTAATTTGTTTATAACATGATTCTTCATATTCCAGCACATGTTCTACATTCCTTTTACAGCTGAAAACATTTACAAATATATTTAGTTATAGTTTTTGAGAAGTTAGGAGGAAAGATTCCTAAGGAGGGGATCTTCTCTAACATTGCAACATTTTGCTTCTCTTTTTAAGTTTACTTTGGAAATTGTTGTTTCTTTTAAATGACACATTTGCTGGACTATAAGCTCCCCAGGGAGAGTAATTTTCCTTATAAACAGTTTCTGTCTCATGACCACAACATGCTCTGTGGTATTGGAGTTTTCGTCTCTATTCGGCAGAGGAGGAAAGAGAGTCAATTGGCTCATATTTCTCAATTTGCAAGAAATTTCCAGTGACCAATCCGTTCTTTCTACTGCTTTAACACCAGTATGAATCGAAGTCTACTCCTCCCTCTCCCATTTTCATTGAATCTTATTCTGTGTCCTAGTTATAGCAATCAGAGACCCTAAGCCAATAGTTCACAGTCACATGGTCATACGTACATAAGGAAAACTAAGATCATAAGAGCTGCTGTGCTGACCAGAGCAGAGATCTGTCTTGGCCAGTACACAGGGGCCAACCAGCTGTCTCCCGAAACCCACAAGCAAGACATGAATGCCACAGCAAACTCTTGCCCCGTGTTCTCCAGTAGCTGCATTGCGTAGGTATGGTACTTCTGATCTTGGAAATGGCCAAGCAGCCATTGATAGCCTTCTCCACCACGAATTTCTACAATCCCATTTTAGACCTATCTAAGCTGGTGGTCACCAGTTTCTCATGGAAGTGAATTCCATAGTTTAACTATGCATTGTGTGATGAAGTACTTCCTTATATCTGGCCTGAGTCTCCCAGCCACTACTCAGCTTCATGGACTTCAATATTATGAGAGAGAGAGAGAGAGAGAGAGAGAGAGAGAGAGAGAGAGAGAGAGAGAATGATGTTACCCAGAGTTTGTCATGCAGGAGTGGGAGAGAGTGGGCATGCTGCCTTCTCTGTGGCTGCCACTTCCACTTCTACTCCACAGCCAACCCTCAGCTCCATCATAGGTTAACACGCAAACCCAGATCAACCAGTTGTTTAGGAGCCAAGTGACCCAGTAGTTTGATTTCAGATGTCGCACTACACAACCTACTAAGGAACCAATTTTGGGGCATGAGGTAAAAGTGGACGTGATGGGCATGTTGCAGACCACTTTCACAGTCTTAACTTTTCCATAACAGCCCATGGTTTTCTTCACACATGGGTTGTTATTATATGCAAACAGCCCCAATAACTTGGTATTGCTGCCCTTTCTGCAACACAATATTGCATATTTTTGATCAGCTTTCATTTAAGTGTGAAGGGCAAAGTTTTCTGTGAAGAGAATGTTGTTGTGGGGTGGGAGGAGTGGGAAGAATGAATCTGTATTTGCATTGTCTAAATAGATTTGGTCCTGTGAATGGCAAATCCCAGATGCAGCCTCATTTCCTATGACTTCTAAAATTCTAGAATGTCTTCCTTAATCAATGCCTTGAAATTTTGGAATTGATACTTGTGCTAATAACACTTTTATTTTCATCCAATGAATTTATCCATTTTAGTGCCAATACACAACAAGGGTGAATTTGAACATACATGTGTATCCTTTAGAGACCAGAGCACCAAAACTTTTGGAACTTGTCAAACTGACACTGTTTGACAAGATTTGAAAACACGGGCAATGAGATATTTCACAATGTAGGAACATGTGTGAACTGGGTCCAATTTTGCTGGCTTTTAACAATTTGCAACATTTCAGCATGTTGGCTGCTTTAAGTAACGTTGATCTAGAAAAAGCTGTAGAGAATAGAATAACATCGTGCTATTTTATCTATCTAGTTAAAGTTCCTACTATTAAGGTATTTGTATTTTGACATATCTTTATTTTGTTTGGGAGTCAAAAGACCTCAAGACACACCTCCAGATATATGTTGGAACTAACAATCATTTGAACTTCTCAAAACACTTTTGAAAATAGATCCAAAGACTATGGATGTCCCCAGATGGTGGACTGAGCACTACCAATAAAAAGATACTGTGCAGCTGTTCCATCATTTCCTTTTTAACAGAACAGATGGAAGAAGTGGTGAGAAAATGTGGAAGGGTTACAAGTGCCCTTCCCTGCACTTGTAGCATTCAGTGCATGAAACAGTGTGATGGCAGCATTTCAATTTCATGTGGAAGTACTCTTTGAAGTCTGAAGTAGCAGGGAAATGCATTTGGTGTGTGACATTGACAGCTTTTTTATGGCTATGTATGTAGCAGTTTTTGCCTCAAGTTCAGAATTTGAAAGTTGACACATATTTAAGCAAAGCTTCTAGTGTCAGCCTCTATTGCCGAGAAGATTAGATTGCAGCTCTTGTCAGTACACATAATACGATATGCATATTTCATATTTTGTTTGTAACACTGGCAAAACACTCCTGTCTGGGCACAGAGTGACTTGATATTATTATACAATCTAGCAACCTACCTTCCTTTCTTCCATACAGTAAAATGCTTTCTCTCTTTCAGATTGCTTAATCCTTTGGAAAACTTTAAAATAAGTGTATGCCTCTTTAATTTCTTTTCTCAGAGCCTCCAACATGTTCTCCAGACCAGTTCACATGTGCAACTGGTGAAATAGACTGCATCCCTATGGCATGGCGATGTGATGGATTCTCTGAATGTGATGATCAGAGTGATGAGGATAGCTGTCCAATCTGCTCAGTCACCCAATTTCAGTGTGAGAAGGGGCAGTGCATTGATGCAAGTTTGAGATGTAATGGAGAAATCGATTGCCAGGATAAATCTGATGAAGCAGATTGTGAAAGTAAGCTCTGTTTTCTTAACTTGTATGCAGAGTTTGTGTCAGAAACTGGTCTTTCCTTGGGTCAATTGTGGTAGCTGGCAAATGAGAAGTACAAATGGATATTTCTCTTTGAAACAGTAAGTGGCAGTTGCCAGGGTTCAAAGTTTCCGTCAGTGTTTTGTAACAGTAGTAGTCATTTTATTTATTTATTTGGGATATTTCTAGGCTGTCCAATCACACTGAGTCTCTGAACAGCTCACAACAATGTCATGCCTCCCATGCCATCCTCTGAACAAAGCAGAAGGACTGTGGCTGGTCAATATTGTAATGGTTGTTCATTTCAACTCTGTTATTGCTCTCACATGCCAACACTACACATACTACAAGCTATTTATGCAGTGTTGATCAGTTTTCTTTTCAGTGAAGCACATACTTGGTTTCCATGTAAACAGAGCAAGAAGTACATTGTGTAGTTTGGGAACTTTGAAAATCTAGTGTGTATCTTTGTGGTAATGATCTGTTGGATTGGGGTTAAAATGACAGAGGATTGTTCAAAAATGGTTGTTTCCCTTGCAGCAGTTTGTCTCCAAAATCAGTTTCGATGTGCCAGTGGCCAGTGTATCCTCAAAAAACAGCAGTGTGACTCTTTTCCAGACTGCATTGATGGCTCTGATGAACTTGCATGTGGTAAGGAATTACCTTTTGTCAATTTGTTCGAGATCCATGTGCTGCTAGTTAGTTTTTGAATATTTATTTATTTTTAAATGTATAGGCCACTGAATAACCCAACACGGCTCTCTTAAGCAGTGAGCAACAAGATGCAAGACCAATTCAAACATTACAATTCCTAGAAAAGGGAAAAAAACAATTGTTGGTAGTAGAACAAGATCTTACATGCAAGTTGTTAAAATTAGGTCTCAAAATACCTACAGAAAAGGACATTTTTTTGCCAGGCACCAAAATTAAAGTAATGATGGGACTTGGCACTCTCTCTAGGAAGCCCATTTCAAAGGTTGGGGGCAGCCACCAAAAAGGCCCTTCATGCTCAGGTCTCAGTGGGCAGGTAGTTATATATGGGAAAAGGAAGTCCTTCAATAACCAGGTCCCAAGATGTTTAGGGCTTTATATGTTAAAAGGAGTGCTTTAATTTGGGCTCCGTTTTCAACTGGCAACTAATTCTGAATTGTGAGGTGAATTAATAATGGATAGAGGAAAGGGAAGAATGTGAGTTGGGATACTAGGAACCGAGATGACTGGTGTTTTCCCCCACCTCCCCCTTCAGCTTGGGTTTAGGGTGGTACTCAGGGAATTTCTCTGGAGAAGGAAGGGGGAAATTTGTCAGAGGGACAGTTCTGCGGGATGTGAATTAAGTTTAAGTTTGGGAGTAATTTTGTTTCTCTCTCCCCCCACCATATTCCTATTTTTTTCTTTTTCTTTTTTATGCAAGTTTAGGGTTTAGGGATGGTCGCAATAAGGAACCACAAATGCTACATGATGTAAAACTGCTATGCCTAAAATAATGAGAATATTATCTCTGAACATCAAAGGATCAGGGTTAGGGTTAGAAGAAGAATTGAAGCAATGATAAAGATAGAGTGACTATTGTATTTCTGCAAAAAAACAGGTTTTAAAAAGAAGGGGTTAATGAGATACGGTGAACATGGTCGGAATTTTATGAAAAAGCATATAGGAATTCAAAGTCTAGAGTAGTGGCTATTATTATACCTAAGAAAGCTGAACTTTAAAAAGTAAAGAAAGATGTGAGAGGTAGATTTTTTTTATATTACAAGGTGAAATGAGAGTAGAAGATTACACATCAGTTAATATTTATTCACCAAATGTTAATCCTGAGACCCTTGTTATTGGATGGGATAGAAAGGCTTTTACTAAATAAATAAATAAAACAATCAAATGTAATTTCTAAACAACATGCTTGATGAATTAGAAAGTATTAGGAATAATGTCAGGGGACTTTAATATGGTAATAGATAAAGCAAAGGACAAATAAATCCTGTTAAAGAAGAAAAAAGATATAACACTGAATAAAATGATAAATAATACAGATTTGAAAGATGTTTGGAGAGAATTAAAAGGAGATGAAAAAGATTTATCTTTTACTCATTGGTTCATAAAACTTACTCTAGGTTTGATTATATATTTGTGTCAAATGATTTGTTTTGTAGCGTATATAACTCAGATATAGATTTAATAAAAATTACTGATCATGCATTGATAAATATGGATTTTAAAATTAGATGTGACTGTAAAGAAGCTAAAAGATGGAGGATGGGTATAAGAATTTTGCAACATATAATAGATAAAATGGAGAAAGAATTGAAAGAAATATGGGATATCGATGATAAAGAACATAGTGAAGTAAACTTAGTGTGAGACACAGTGAAGGCTTTTTTAAGGGCAGCAAATATTAGGGAAGCTTATGATTCTAAAAGACAAAGGGTGGACCAGAGTGGGTTTATAGCAGGGAGACAGATGGCGGATATGACTAGAAGAGTATTAGATGTAGTAGAAGTTATATGTAAGGAAAGGTTTAAGGCTTGTATAATAGCATTGGATATTTTTAAAGCCTTTGATTGTGTGGAATGGTCTACAGTAAATACACTGATAGAGTTACTAGATTTGGCACATAATTTAAAGGTGTAATAAAATATTATATTCAGAAAATTTCACAACTGTGATAGTGAATGATGGTTTAACAGAGCAAATATCCCTAGTCTGAGGTACTAGACAAGGATGTCCTCTCTCCTCGATATCATTTGCCTTAGTCATAGAATTATTAGGAAATAGTATTAGAAATGATAATATCATGAAAGATATTGGATTTGTAAATAAAATTAAGATTAGTTTATTTGCTGGTGATATGTTATTAACAATAAAGGATCCACCTAAAATTATAGATCAGGTTAAAATTCATTTAGAAGAATTTGGAGAGATAGCAGGCTTGCAGATTAATTGGAATAAATAAGAAATGATGCTGTGTAATTGCAATAATGAAGAGAAGGAAGGAATCAGGAACAAATTTCAAATTAAGATATATAAAATATGAAATATTTTGGTATACTTATTACCAAAAATTACAATCTTTGAAAAATAATAATTTTGATATTGAAATGTGAAATAAAGGAGAAAATGCATGAATATAGAAAAATAGTCCTGGTTTGGCAGAATAATAGTATGTAAAATTAAAATTTTACCTAAGATTTTTTTGTTTGGGATGTTGCTGATTAAGATATTAGAAGAATTTGGAAGAATGGCAAAATATGGTAAACACAATTTGTAATGGGGACAAGAAAGGGAGAATTAGTTTTTAAAAATGACATAAATCACAAAAAATGGGAGAATTAGGTATTCCAAATATAAAAAATGTATTATGTAGCAAATTAAATGAGGTATATACCAGATAGTATATTACAACCCGAAAATGTAATATGGGCAGAAGTAGAATATCAACAAATTGAGGGATCCTTTTCAAACCATTTTTCAAAACAAATGATAAGAAGATCATTAAAAAGATAGGAAATCCTTTCCTTAATAACATGGTACATATTTAGAACAAGTACAGGGGAATATTCATGCCAACAATTTCACCGTTAATTCCAATCACAAAAATAGAAAGATTTCCAGAAAATGTGAGAGGAAGTTTGGGAAAAGTATTGAAGGATAAACCAAGTTGTAGGTTAAAGGGCTAGAGAAATGGTATAATAAGGAAAAAATAAAGGTGGTATGAGTAAAGGAAAAATTAACATTATGCAATTAGAACAATGCACTAAAGAATGTGTAAAGAAAAATGGCACATGTGTAGAGACATTGCTAAATTTGAAGGGATTGTATTACAAAAGGGAAAAACAAGATAATATGCAAACAAGAGGGATAATAAGTGAGAATTATAAAATAATATTGGAAGTAGAGGATCAATATGACCCTCTTAAGGTCTCATGGGAAATAGATGGAAGGGATATAAGTAAGGTAAAATGAGAGGAAAGTATTCGATTAGAATAAAGGAAAACTTCTACAAATCAGTTTGGATATGGTATCTGACACTGGTAAAGTTATATGGATAATAAGTGTCCCAATATATGTTGGAGATGTCAGAAAATGGGTACTTATTTCTATATGTGGTGGGAATGTGAAAATATTATGAAATTTTGACAAATGGTTTTTAGCAAAATATTGAAGCAGACCCTGGAATTGTATGATTGCCATTATTTCATGAAAGGAATTGGAAATGGACTATTAATAACATGTTTTAACAGCTGTGAGATTAATAATAGCAAAGAATTGGAAGGAAAATTTTGATTTCCGATTAAGTGAATAGTATAAGGATATTTTGAATATAGCTGTTAGTGACAAGTTAATATGTAGTATTGAGGTGGAAAAGGGTTGACAAATAAGAATAATTTTAGTGAAATTTTGGGGCTTATTGACTACATATCAACAAAAGGAAAGGATATTAAATCTTCATATGATTCAATTCAATTTTTGAAGCGGAAAGAGTCTTCCTGAGATAGGAGAAGGAAAGAAGAAGAAGAAAAATAAGAGGGGTATATACAGATATAAATGAATTATCCTCAGCAGCAGCAGCATCATGTAACTGAAGGTTCTAGGGTGGAAATGCACCTTTTGTGTGCAGCATTATATAATGTAATTATTAATTGCTTTGATGTATATGATTCAATTTATGTATATTGTAAGGGTGTTTCCTTTTTTAATTTTTCATTGATGTATTTTTGTATTCTATTAATAAGTGAGTTAATAAATATAACATTTATATAGGGAAAAAATCAGTGTTTTGTTTTTTTTAACCTAACCCAATCCTCATACTGTGAAGGAGCTACTGTGCTATAGTAGGGCCTCCAAGGAACTGAAGACCAAAAGCAATTATCAAAAGGCCAAAGCGGATGTAATTATTTTTGGCTGAGCCTTTGGTGGCGGCTCAAATTGGCTTCAGGCCCTGTGTGGTTTATATGAACCATAAATGCTTGGAGAGAGGCTTTTTGAAAATAGATGGTCTGATAATAATTCATTTCTTTCAGGCCTAGGATCTCTGTCAGGAAAAAAACTAGAGATGATAGTCCTGCCATGTTCTCAAAAGTTTTATAAAGAGAATTGGACAGGGAGAGTAAAAGGGCTGTTTGTATGCTTATAGTTAATAACTTTGAACTGCAATAGAAGTCATCTTGTCTGAACTCCCAAAATTGGGCCTGTACAAGGAAATGCTACTGGTAATTTATTAGTCCAGCATTTCCCAATTTGGTGCCCCCTAGGTATGCTGGACTACAACTTCCATCGTTCCTAAGTGACATGGATGGCTTGAATAATAGAAGGCTCGATTCTTCTATAGCTATACCTATAAATTCCTTGGGCAATATATCTATTGTCTTTCAGTGTGGGAGACTCTGGGTTCAAATTCTGCCTCAGCCACAAAGCTTACTAAATGACTATGAACACGGTGAAGTCAGTCATCCTAATCCCATTGAGTTTTAATTAGAATAAAATGAGACAGGAAGTATAAAGCCCTTTCTCACCTGAAAAGGACCAAAGAGGTTGCTACCAGGGCACACATGGACTCGGTCTGTGGTTAGAACCAGGATGATGCTGTGGTGTTGCTGTGCTAGCTCCTGCCTTGGTGCTCCCTCCTTTTTTCAGCAGGTGTACTTGGCAGCAGCAGATGGAATCAAGAGGAAGCAGAAAATATTTTTTTCTGAGGCTCTGTGGGAATTTACAATGGTGGCTTGCAGCTGCTTCCCACCTGGCCCAGGGGACCGAGGTTGGGCAGTAGTACCAGTGCATTCTGGTAGCTGCCAGAAAGTGGAAGGTGCAGGTGCCAGACAGGGATGCCGTGAATGTGGAAATAAGTCTTTTCTACCTGAGAAACTGGTACAATGAAGGGAGTGATCTTGTTTCTTTCAAGACAATATGAGACAGCTTTACTAGGGAAAATTTCCTTCTGGATGAAGGAAAAGAAAGGCTGGCTCCATCCCTACAACTCTTAGGGCGCCATCCTATGTCTTTTTAGATGGAAAAAAAATCCAACAACTTCCATCATGTTCCAGCCAAGATTGTATCTTTAGATCCAAATATGTTTCTGATTTATTCTTTTCAAATCCTAAACATTCATTTCCATGAATGTATATATGTATGTATTTATTTATTTAGGATTTTTCTAGGCTGTCCAATCACTTTAGTCTCTGGATGGCTCATACCAATCTATAAATACAACAATAAATAATAGCATCTGTACCCTAAACAATAATAAATTAGGTATCCCATGACTGAAATATATTACATTAATTAATAAAATAAGTTAGATTAAAATAATTAATTCTAATAATAAATTTTTTATCATTAAAATATTGGTTAAATAAAATGGTCTTGACCTGGTGCCAAAAAACATATAAAGACGGCGCCAGGCAGACCTCTTTGGGGAGCACATTCTATAGCCTGGGCACCACCACAGAGAAGGCCCTCCTCCAAGTATGTTCTCTCCTAACCTCCTTCAAGGAGGGTTCCCAGCGTAGGGCCTCTGCTGCCGATCTTGGGGGTGGGAGGGCATATGGGGAAGAAGATGTTCCTTTAGGTAGCCTGGTCCCAAGCCATTTAGGGCTTAATAGATAATAACCAGCACTTTAAATTGGGCCCGGATTTCAGTGGGAAGTAAGTGGAGCTGATAGAGGACCGGAGATATGTGAGAGTAATGACCGGTTCCTGACAGCATCCTGGCAGCTGTATTTTGCACCATCTGAAGTATCCAGACTGTCTTCGAGGGCAGCACCACGTAGAGCGTGTTACAATAGTCCAATCGGGAGGTTACCAGTGCATGTGTCACCGCTGCTAGGCAGCTCTTGTCCAGACAGGGACGCAGCTGGTGGATCAGCCAAAGCTGAAGGAAGGCACTCCTCGCCACTGCCGTCACCTGGGCTTCCAGGGACGGTTCTGGGTCGAGGAGCACTCCTAAGCTGAGGACTGTGTCCTTTATAGGGAGTGCAACCCCCGTCCAGGACAGGGCTGGAAACCCGAGCCACCCACCAACAGGACCTCCGTCTTATCTGGATTGAGCTTCAGTTTATTGGCCCTCATCCAGCCCATTACCTCAGCCAGGCACCGGTTCAGCACAGCCACTGCCTCACCTGGATTAGTTGTAAAAGAGAGTTGTACTGTCATCAGCGTACTGGTGGTTCCGCAGCCCAAACCTCCTGATGACCTCTCCCAGAGGTTTCATGTATATGTTGAATAGCAAGGGGGACAAAATGGAACCCTGTAGCACTCCATGGCAGAGTTGCCATGGTGCAGAGCCAGAGTCCCCCAGCACCACCTTCTGGAATTGGCCAGCCAGGTAGGAGTGGAACCACTGCCAAGCAGAGCCCCCGACTCCTAACCCAGCCAGCCCATCCAGAAGGATACCATGGTCGATGGTATCGAAAGCCGCTTAGAGGTCCAGGAGAACCAACAGGGATGCACTCCCCCTGTCTCTCTGCACAGGTCATCATATAGGGTGACCAAGGCAGATTCAGTAGTGAAACTGGGTCTGAAACTGGACTGAAATGGGTCCAGATAATCAGTTTCATCCAAGAGTGCTTGGAGCTGTCCCGCCACCTTCCTTTTTCAGAAATGGCAATTGAACTGCATTTGTATTGTTCCTTACTGGAAAAATGGTTAGAAGTATAATTATCTATGGCTATATCTTGAGAGGGTATGACTGGTTTATACTGATAATTATTTTGAGAGGGCAGACAGGAATAAATGCAGAAAAGTTTGTTCTGAAAAATAGTACTTTTTCTACTATTAAAATGTGTAGTGCTCCTCAAATATGATAAACTAGAGTTTTAAAGTCTGTAAATATGTGTAATGAAAGCTTCCTTTGTGGAGCCTAGTCTAGAGCACCTACATCAAGTTAATTTTAATTTATTGTTATTAATTTTACAGGAAAAATTAAATCTTCCTCAGTTGAGTCTCAGCCTCACAGTAGTGCTATTGGCCCTGTCATTGGTATCATCCTTTCGCTCTTTGTCATGGGAGGAATGTACTTTGTTTGCCAGCGAGTGGTATGTCCACGTTACGCTGGGCCCAATGGCCCATTTCCTCATGAATATGTCAGTGGTACCCCTCATGTCCCCTTAAATTTTATTGCTCCAGGGAGTTCTCAGCATGGTACTTTCACTGGTAAGTATGGCTCAATAGTGTCAGCTAATACTGTATTTCTCATTTCTCCCTAACCCCTTAGTTTTACAACATGTCAAATAACAGCTTTGTGATGCTATATAGGTGCTATCATTGTACAGTGGTACCTCAGCTCATGAACTTAATCCGTTCCACAACTTTGGTTGCAACCCAAATTGGTCGCGAGACAAGTCAAATTTCCCCAGAAGATTCAATGTAAATAAGGTTAATCCATTCTGTAAATATTTTTTAAATCACAAAAATTTGAAACGAAGTAATAAAGAACAACAGAGTAACAAAGTACATTACAGTAGAGAACACTAATCTAGGTGGAGGGGAGGTTATTGTTTGGAGGGAGAGTCCAAACGATAATCGTGCGTTAGCGATCGTGCCTGGGGGGAGGGGGAGATGGGAGCGATCGTGCTCATGCAGGGAAGACAGGTGTGATGGCGCTCGCGCTCGGGGGGAGATGAGCATGATGGCGATTGCACTTGTGCGGGGAAGATGGGCGCGATGGTGATCGGGCTCGTGTGGGGAGGATGGGCTGTGATCGTGGTCGTCACTCAATGTGGAGTTCGCGAACTGAGGCAATTTTTTTTCTGAAATATCTGTTTGTGACCCAATTTGGTTGTGAACAGAGGCATTTGTGAGCCAAGGTATCACTGTACTGTTCTTATCATGATATGCTTGAATATATAACATTTTAATACTTATTGCAAAGTAGAAGGAACCATCAAGCTTGGCATCCCAAAAAGTTGGGCTTATGTTGATTACTTTAAAAACAATCTACTTAGAAAGAAGCTCTGTTTGTGTGTGGAGGGGCGGGAGGAGATCAGATGACTCTGCTGCTGCTGTCTCTTGTTTTTAAGAGCTATGTTCACTTGTTTATTTACTCATTTGTTTGATTGTTTAATTCATTTCTTAGCTAATTTCAAGATTACAGTATTCCCAAATTAGTTTACAATGCAAATATACAATTCTATGTCAGTATAAAATTGATAGTGTCATTAAGAATATGCAAGAAAGTCAGGAACAAGAGCAGCATATATAATACAGAACATTTGTAAAACCAAAGAAAGTGAACATGGTTTTAAAACCTTCCTTTAAAAATAGATAGATGTCTTAGGAGAGAAGATCCTTAGGACAGGGGCAGCCACAAAGAAGACCCTATTTCTAGTGTTTGCCAATTGTACACATTTTATTGGAAGCCAGCAAATAAAGCCTTCAAGAATAACTAACAGGCATGTTTGAAAGGGTGTAGATAATCCTTCAAATAACTTGTAGTCAAACTAAGGATTTAAAGAACAAAAATAGCACTCAAAGTAGCACTCCAGAAACACACTGTTAATGTACCTTGTACAAATGGTGTAATGTGATTCAACTGGATAGACCCTACAAGGACTTGTAGCAGGTGCATCCTACATCAGCTGAGGTAGCTTCCATGGCAGTCCCACATTACAGAACACATTGCAGTAGTCTAAGTCAGTTGAAACTAGGGCATGAAGAACTGGGGCAGAACTTCAGCACAGGGATATTTATTGCTTGCTTTCTTCATCCCACCCCTAGCAATGCACTGGCATTCTCTGAATGTCAAAGTTTGGGCTTCCCTTATCCCATTTGGAAACACATCAGCACAATTTTAGTGGAGACAGTATGTGGGCTATGTGGGTAAAGAGCAGCCATTCATGCCCTTCCCAGAATCCATTAATTGTGTGTATGGTATTTACACAGGGCCTTATCAGGATATTGTGCAAAGATCTGGCTAAGGCTGACAATACCAAAAACTCCTTAAGTTCTAATATTCAAGGAAGAATAGAAGTTTTTAGCAAAAGTTTATTCTGCCTGATGGCTTAAAATGAAGTACCTTAACCTCTGCACAAGAAAATGAGCTTTGTGCCAAAACTCAGAAGGGTTTTGCAGACCACACTAATTGACTTTAATTTGTTTCAATGAGGATGATCTTTTCTACTGGGAACTGCAGTCCAATCCTGTTTTATCCATGCAGGCATCTCTTGCGGAAAATCTATGATCAGCTCCATGAGCCTGATGGGAGGAAGTAGTGGTGCCCCTCTGTATGACAGAAACCATGTAACTGGAGCCTCCTCTAGTAGCTCATCTAGTACCAAAGCCACTTTCTATCCACAGGTAAGTGTGAAAACGTTATAAGTGATTTTTGCCTTTCTCCCTGTCCTCGGCTAAAAGAGTATCCAAGTGCTGGTTAGGAAGAGTTAGTCAACATTCTGGTGATCCTTGGAAATTGAACCCATTGCTTGCAGGCCAGTCTCGTGTTGGGCATTGTGTTGTTTTGCTCCCTGAGCAATAATGAAACTGCTCTCTCCAGAACAATCCCAGAGGAGTTCCAAAGATCAATGGGTCTGCTAATGAGTAAACACTGTTACATTTGTAGCATATGTTTTGATAGGGTGATGACCTTTGAGATCGTTGCTCTGAGTGTTTGCATTCTAGTATCATTTTCACCTCCAGAGTGTAATCATTCTGTTCTTTGTGAATGTTTTGATGGTGTTGACCTACCAGGACACTTGGTAGTATGCAGTCCTGTAAATGTAGGCCAGAGTGTGAAAACAAAGGGAGGTGCTTGGTGGAGTTGAGGGAGAGCCTACAAAGCTAAACAGTCCATCTGTTTATTTACTCTCGGTTTGTCTTGGATCTCTGTGAGTCAGCCAAATCCCTTGAACCGTTTCCCATAAATAAAAGCAGTTTGTAGTAAAAGAAGCAGGAGGAGGAAAGACAACTCAAGAGCAGACTTATATGGATTGATCCACACACTGTTACATTTTGTGGTGTTTTTCAAGATTCTGCATTAAGGGGACAGAGCCTTCCTACTCTTCCCTCTCCACTTGTCCCAGCTGCTGGCAGCTCAGGGTCAAATGAGATATTCCAAGTTGTTTCCTGGTTCCACGCCTAGCTCTTGTGACCATGAGCAAGTCACTCTTGGTAGCTTATATCAAGCTGGTATGCACTAAGTGATGTATTTGAATACATAGGTAACCTTAAAACTTTCAAAAAGGGGATACTGTGCAGAACTATGTTTTATTGTTACATATGCTAATGATATGGTTTTATTATCATAATGCAAATCTGGACTCAGAGCAGGTTCATATAACACTGGCTTTCATGGGACAGTATCTCGAGTCTTTTTGTGCACCAACAGAACCTAATACTAGTACAAGAGGGAGTTAGCAATTCTAAAAGTAGTCCAGCCATCAGGGCCTACAGAAGGGAACTCCTCTGACTTGTGGTAATCTGGAATCAAGTGTTTCTGTACCAGTTTCTGGAGGTTTGTTTCAGTTGCATCAGCAGTGGGTCCCACTTGCACAACGGTTCATGTGGGAGTGCAGCAGCAGGTTGGACACTGCCCATGAATGCACATAAGGGCACACTGTGATAAAAAATAATTTCTTTTTATTTCATTCCACAGATTCTAAACCCACCACCTTCACCAGCCACTGATCGTTCCCTCTATAACACAGAAATGTTCTATTCCTCAAACATTCCTTCAACAACAAGATCTTATAGGTAATTAACCTTTTGAATTCTTTATGCATTGTTGATATCAGTATACTAAAATTAACTTCTTAAAATCTTTAACCTTTAAAAAAATTAACATATCTCCCCTTGTTCTCTTTTCAATCTGCTGTGCTTTGACAATAAGTCAGCTTTTGTTATATTGGCAAATATATTGTTTTTCTGCCCTGTTCACTTTAGAATTGAGATATAGAACTGTTCACAGGTGCATTGAACATTGAGAGCCAGGCCTTTAGGCTGCTTTTAGCCTCAGCCCAGCTGTGTCCAGAACTCTGCCCTTAGAAGTTAGTGATGTCCTCTCAAGATGGCATTTTCTGAATGCTTTATGAATGTGTGTTTATTTAACAAGGAAAGGTAAGAACAGTTAGCATTGTGCAACTTAGGTCTTCCAAATGAGGAGGGGAGAAAGATTCTAATTATTTTTCTCCCTCTCTTTGATTGCAGAATAGAATATTGGTTAGGAACAAAATCTGATTCATATTTATCCTTTTTTCATAAAGTATTTTCACCTTAAAATATCTTCGGTATGTCTAATTTCAATGGGGGAAGACTGTATGGTAGTGGTGGTTCCTGGAGAATATGCAAATTCACTATTTGCTAAATGCACATACATTGTGCAGTAATACATGTTACATGTTCACACACAGCACGGATGTCTTAAGTAAATGCTATCTAGTGCTGACATGGTGTCCCACACAGGATAATTGCTTTGTGGCCTATGGAAGGTGCCCAGCAGGTCTCTAACATCATAAACTAAAATGCTCATATTAAAACCCACTATTCTGCTAGCTGCTTCCACTTTTCCCTAACAAATGCATGTTTATCTTAAACAGGGGAGTAATAGGTGCACCTCTTCTGTACTAAACATACACAGAGAATGAAGGAAAGCATAGATTCTTTGCAGGTTAAATGAAGTAATGGCTTATATGATTGATGAGAGAGAATCTCTCGTGCACACAGACACCTTAGTTCATCCTTGCAAGTAGACAAAGCATTCAGTGGCAATTTGCCTAGACTGTTGCTAAAGATCCTGAAGTAGTATTGTGGCTTTTGGAATCATGTCCTAAGACTTCTCACTAGCAGGGCAGCTCAGAGGGTCAGGCATAGTAAGTGGAATGCAAAGACACAAGCCCACTCCCCAGAACTGATCAACAGTGGTCCTGCAGTCTGATTTTGCTACAGCACTATGCGCCACAAAAGGTTACTTATGGGATATTGGAAAGCGAGGGGACAGGAGTGGGAAAGGCCCTCTTTATAATACCCAAAAGGCCACTTGAATGATCAAGAATAAACAGCTTTCTGTTAAGCCCGGAAGACCTTGCTGGCTGTTAGCTATTAGCAGTGCTTTTGGCACTAACTACAAGTTGTAGGATCACTGCAGTTCTTATTCTGGCTTTGTTTTTTAAAGAATTTCTATATCACCTTTTGGTGATGCTTCCAGGTCAATTTACATAAAATAGAATAAAATAACATTAAAATAGATTTAAATTTTATTTTAGAAACTAACAACAGTATCTGAACAATACTTAAACTTTGAAATTTAGCAGGAGAAAAAGACATATTGATGGTGCTTTCCCAGTGAGGGGAATTTTGCAAGCACCACTAAGAAGACCCTCTTTTTTTCCTTTGATTTTCAAAAATGTACTTACATAAGCTTTTATATACTCGTATCCATACCAATGAGTGTGTGTGTATGTGTACATAGGGCATCAACCAAAGGTGGTCCAGATATACCAACTGAGTATCTATAGTGAAAGCATTTATAAGCTCCTCCATCCATTGCATTATAGGAAATGGGCAGTTATGCTTCCAGTGTTGAAATATCACCCTTTTAGCTGTCAGGAGAACACAGACAATCTAAAAAGGCTTTTAGACAGCAGAAGCATCAGGTGAAAGGTCTCAGCAGGTAACCTCAGTACACAGGGATTCTGCTGTAGGGTATAGAAACAGTTTTCCTATATCATTGAAATGGAATCTTTACCAGCTACCATACTGCCTCTTCATAACTGCAACCAATTGTATACTTGAGGCAAAGGACAGAAAAAAAAGCGTTAACTCTCTAACATCAATCACCCCCTCCTTTTATCTACGAAGTAAGTTGTTTGATTGTATGGCTCTGTACCTATGCCTTTCTCTGTCAGAATGCATGCTTTTACAGTGCAACACACTTCTGTTTTATTTTCCAGGCCCTATCTTATAAGGGGAATAGCTCCACCAACTACTCCTTGCAGCACCGACGTATGTGACAGTGACTACACTACAAGCCGGTGGAAAGCCAATAAATACTACATAGATCTAAATTCAGACTCAGATCCTTACCCTCCTCCTCCCACCCCCCGCAGTCAGTACATGTCAGCAGAAGAGAGCTGTCCACCTTCTCCAGCCACAGAGCGAAGTTACTTCCACCTCTATCCCCCTCCCCCTTCTCCTTGTACGGACTCCTCATGATTTCAGCAGAAGGAACTTGTCTTGCTTTCTGTAAATATATTTTAAATATGAACAAAGATTTTTAAATATATATTTTATGATCTAAAATGGGGAGGGAACTTTTAAAATGTGAATAAAAATGGGTGGGCCAGGGCTGTGAAAATTGTACAGCAAAAGAATATTTATAAGTTGTGTTTTTTAACTTAATATCCATTCTTTTGTGCCATATTTTGCCTTTGCATTGAAGTCACAAAATTTAAATTGACCTCCAAAGGAGGTGGGAAGCGGGGAATATATACTTGGAGCTTTTTGAAATCACCATTTTGATTCTGTAAAGGGGAATGTGCTGAATTAGTTTGTTTTGTTTGTTTTTGTTTGTTTTTCAAGTAACAAAAAGGTGAGTTAGAAATACTGTATGAATGAATGGCAGTGTTGTTTGAAATACACGCACAGGAAATTAGATTTTTTATTTTAAAGGATGCTTGATCATCTTGATTATAGGTAATTATGAACTAACTTGATCATCTGCCTTGATCATACCTTGATCATCTGCATCTACGTTGAACATAGGTGATTAACCACAAAAATGCAATTTCTTTTGGAATGCTGAATGCAGGAGGAGACTTCTCCTGTTCTCATTCCATCATCATTCACTTTCCAGATACATCTGTGCACAAGGAAATGTGGAATTCTGAAAGTTGCACTCACTTTATTCAGCACAAATTACTGCTACTGTAAGAAAATAAGCACGTACCCAATTGGGAATTTTTGTGCCCAGCAAAGTCCTGTCAGGCTTCTGGCAGCCTTAATGTAATATTAATCGGGGAAGCAAATGAAGTTTCATCATTCAGTAGAAGCCATGCATTCAGCTTAGCAGTTCTTGGGGAGCATGTAACCATGAAATCAGTGGTAGAAATAGAAACAGATAACCAGCTGAGAGATACCACTATCAATCTTGTTTTTCTGACAGAGCACAATATTTCAGAGATCTCTTGGTCCCCACAGCCTGTGAGGCATCTTTCTCTTTCCTCCTCCTGCTTTGTTGGGCGCAGCCAAACTCTGTAAAACTTTTGAATTTCAATTTTTGTTGCAAAAATCAGGACAGCCACATTTAGTTGCACAATACATTTCAGTAAAAATTGTCCCCAAGTCGTTGAGCAGCAGATTATGTGCAAATCACTGGGCAGTAGATACCTTTTTGAAACAGGCATGCCTCCTCTCACACACACAGAGCAGGAGTGCCGTTGCTAAGTCAGGGTCTAATATCAAATTGGAGCATGTGCATTTTTTCTTCAGAAAAATAATGTTATACTGCTATGTAGATTTAATTGTGATTGGTCAGTTAAAATAGTATGCTTAATTGATTTATTTTTTAATTGCATGATATAAGTGACAGGAGTGTTTCTGGGTCTCAGGATTGGATATTAGTACAGTGCATGCCATCAGAAAGCTGGAAAAAACTTGAAAGCAAATTTTAAACTCCACTTGTTTTAGAGGTTTGACTTGTTTTCATCCATTAAAAAAGACATTATCTGCATTACTACAGTTGCCAAATTACCTTAGAGACCAAATTACCTTAGATCAGTATTGGATTACAACTCTCAGCATACCCTAGCAAGCATGCTGGAAGTTGTAGGCCAGTATAATTGGAGGGCAGCAGTTTGGGCTGACTTACTTCTTTAAACAGAGTCGGAGGAGGGTTTTGAAGGTCACCAAGTCCAATGCTGTGCTTGTTGCATGAAATCTAGAGCTTAAAGCCTTTAAAATCAGATGATTATCCAGCCCACACAGCCTCTCATTTAATTTGTTCCTTTGCCAAACTGCTCTTACCATTAAGAAATTTCTGCTAATGTGCAGTTAGAAATCTATCCCCCAGTAACTTTATTACTGTTGTTGCTATGGGACTATTGGAAATACATTTTCTAGTAACCTGATCCCATTAAATTTGGTCCTACCCTCTTTGTCCTTTCTCAGACAATAATGCTAGATCCCTCTGAAGCAACTTTGTGTAATTCACTGAAGCCTCCATAATTTGCATGTTGTGTGTTAGAGGTCCGTAGAATGTGAAGCCACCATTAAATCCTGATCCGCATCCGCCTATGGCACTAGTGCAGCATCCTGGCTTAACAGTGTGTTCTGAAGTAATGTGCCAGCATAGCTGTTGTCATCTCTCATCCTAATGTGAGTGCATGGTCAGCCTCCTAGCAAATATTTACTCTGCAACACCAGATTGCTGCTGAGTAAGACAGGGCTCCATATTCAACCCAGCACTCTATGCCTCTTATACACGCGCTGACCTTTTTGCTTGGGTGGGTTCTTCTAATCTCTTTGCCTATGGAGAGCAGTTTCTCTCTGTGGAATTAAATGTGGAATTCTGTTTAAATGCATTGGCTCTTCCCCAAAATGTATAAGAAGAGTATTGGGTCAAGTGAGATTTGTATTTGTACTTGAAGATGCTAGTTTTCACAGTGGGTTGGGAGGAAAAATAGCAAAACTTCTTGTGTTAGCTACCTGTATGTTTGCTTTTGCATGTTCAGTCTGATTGTGCTGCACAAAATACTTGGAAGCTGTGTATTGCAAAAACTACAATGTGAACAAACTATGGCATACAATTGGAAAGTGAGGAAGAGAACAAAAATTACAGCCTGTTTTCACAGCTGCAAAACAGCAGGTGCAGCAAGCTTTTGACAACCTTAAAACCACTGACAAGAATGAAAAATGTTCCTTTTTGAACTCATAGCTGGATTTTTAGCAAATATGTCTGGCACAGCATAATGTGAAACTTCTCCAAACTCTGGCCAGTATTTCCTATCATATTGACAGGGTGAAGTTTCTTACCACTGCGTTCGTTATGTCTGGCTGTATTTGGACCTTACAGTATAATTCAGAGAAGGAGCTGCTGGTTAGATCTGTGAATTGGGTGGAGTGTTCAGTTCCAGTCTCAATATATTAGTATTTTACAGTCACATTTTCTTCTTTTGTTACTAGTATGGTGGAGAAAACCCTATAATAATGTCTAAATACCAACTATATGCCCATGAATACTGCAAACATAACATCCTATTCCTATAAGTTTCAGGATGCCATACATGTGGTGATACTGCTTGCACTTGGAACACAGACATCACTCACAGTAATGCATTGAGGGGTTCAGGTCAAACACATAATAGTGTGCTAATCTATTAAGTATTCTCTACAGATCTCTGATTAATGATACAAACTGCTGGAGTTGGAAAGTCTAGTCCAATCCTACATTCCATATATCTAACTGAGTTATAAGTAAAGGATGCATGTATATTTTACAGTTAAGAAAATTTTAGCCAGTGTTTGACTTTGGCATAACTGTGTTTAATCTTTTGTGTGGCGTTTGTGAAGTGTTGCTCTTTTGGTTGTTAACATTGCTGGCTTTCATCACATGTGCATGCCAATTTCCTATTTTCTTACAAGTGCCATTGAATGCTAGAAGAGAGAGGATCTGTCTTCTCATGCTGAAAGCCTCCATATGGAAGCTGCCTCTGCTGGATCCCCCATCTCTGCTGCACTCATCTGGTTCGCCTGTTCCTCTGTGTGGCATTTTCAAAAGGTTGGAGGGACCATGGTAGTAATGAGGCACTGAGGAAATCAGTTTCAGCTAATCCAGCTGCAGGCAACTCCAGGCAACTCCAACCAGCGATTTCAGTAAACCATTGATCTTCTTAAAAGAAAAAGGAGAGTAGGGACTTGCATTATTGCTGGTGCTCATCTGCTTTCTCGGGAAAATGCTGTTCTGCATGAAGTTGGATGCAAAGCGCTTTGAGCAGATGAAAAATAAAAATTAGTTCTGTTCAGCACGCAGAGTTCATATGGTGATATCTTCTATGAGGCAGGTTCTCTAATATGCCTCTGCTAATGCAAGAAGTTTCATAAGCTGTTGCATAAGGTGGATATAATCTTTGGACTTAATTTTACTTTTCTCACACAGTGTTCTTGTGTAAGATGTAAAAACATTGTTGTACCAAATGTACACTTGGTGTTCCTGACAAATGTATTAATTAAGGACTGTCCCACTGATTTAAACAAAAACATGGGTTGTTTAAAAGTTGTCACATCTGTTTCCCATTCATTTCAGTGCATTTTGACCAATTTTTATTAACATCAATGTCAAGCCTTTATTAATATAAGTCTGAAAGTGAATTCAACCAACCTGATACACACAAGAATTTTTGGAGAGAAATTATGGATCTTGCATCTAAAAATAAACTATATGAAAAGAAAGCACCTTTAGGCAAGCAGCTGTGTTCCCAAGAGGTCCCCTGTGGTTAACTTTTTAAAGTGTGTGTGTGTGGGGGGGGTGAGTGTGTGCGCGCATGCGTGATGTGGAAAGAAGGGTGTAATGTCAAGCTTAACTTGTAAAATAATATTTGTGGAAAATACTTTGTAAATAATGCAATTGAAGTATTTGCAATTAGAAAAAAGAACTGTTGATTTAATTAAATAAAAATCCTATTGGCCTGGGGGGGGGGGGCAAAGCAAAATTAGAGTTGCTAGGTTGCAACCCTGAGGTTTCTCCTTGTACATTTGAACCTTTGCTCAGTTCGGTAGCCAGCCAGAAAGCCACTTCTCTGCCTCTCATCCCCATTACTTTCTGTGCAGTCTGCCTAGAGTTCTGCTCATTACAGTAATCAGGGCAAAGGAAGCAAGGAGAGGACATGGAGTAGAAGTAGCAACAACCTCCTCTTACCATTGGGGTAAAAAGGGAGTCACTGAATTGCAACCAGGCAACTCTGAGCAAAGCAATATATGGTGGGGTAATACTTTGCTTGTTACGTAGGAGATTCAGAGGGCATTCTTAAAAAATAAACCCGAAACCCAGGCTGCTTCCTGTATTGTATCTAAATATTTGCAATTGCTGCTAATGTAAAATGTACATGAATATATACAAATATTACCAAGAATTGTTATAATAGACTCACGCCAATCTGTTTTATATTTATATTGTAAAATGTATTCTGCAAACAGTCTAAATATTTTAGCTGTATACTCTTATCCATTTTGTAGACACAATTTGTCATAAACATTAAAAAGTGCCTTTGGTATTTTTAAACAGCCTAGCATATTGACTTGGGCCGATGATAACAAAGCCTTAAAAAGCAAGTAGCCTTTTGTTCATTGTGCTCCATTGCTTAATTTTTCACCAAACATTGTGTTGAAAAATGTATTAATATGCTCAATTCATTCCAAACAAAGGCATTCATGGGATGGTGGAACTAAGCTTATTTGTACATCTTCAATGCAACATCACTAAATATTGACTTTAGAAGTCTGATGTGAGTTTGCGCAAATACCCTGTCAAGAAATTTTTGCTCGGAAACTTTAGTATTCCAAGGGAACTTCCACTCAAACAACGTATCTCCTTTTTGATGGAGCCTGAGTGTTACAGTTTTACTGATTATGCACTCAGTTTAAAATTATATGTAAAGTTAAAGTCTAAGTGCTAAAATTAAATCATTTTCCTTCCAAGGTCTGCAATTCATAGTACTGCTAATTTTTTTATACCATAATATTAAATTCTTGTATCACCAGCAGAAAAGTTATTAAAATTACTGGTATTCAGCTTATAAAGAGGACTGCTGAAAATACAATTTTTCTTACAAATAGGCATACACCACTGTTCCACTGTACAGACCTTTGCCAGCAAGAAAACAGTACAACCTAGCCACGAATAAGTTCTTTGTACGTAAGTCCGGTTAATTTCAGTGGAAGAAGAAGCATGTCTTTAACTCTCTATTATTTAACTCAATGAGACCTAAAAGCATATGCCTTTTGCTGGATGTGCCCTTAAAAAGGAATCACAGATTAAGCTCTTGATATTGCAACCTGTAATTGTTCCATATCACCAATGCTAGAGTTCTGTTTGAAGCTACTGGCTTTGTTTATACCTGTAGAGTTAACTCTCTTTATTTTGTACTATAGATTTTGATTACTTTGTTTTGTAATTAAAACTTTGGGAAAAATTGTTTGGCACCTTCTTTCATAAATGATTTTTTTAATCTAATACTGTCAAGTGTGTGTGTGTGTTTTTCCACAGTGGTAAACTTTTTAAGGTAATTGGTGCATTTTAAAGGCATTTGCGTTATACTTTGCAGTGCATGCTGTTTTTATAATGGCTTCTGAAGGTTAGAGATTTTCTTTCCCCTTTTCAGTTTACTAATTTACATGAGCAGATTTAAGCTTATTTTCAAGTTTTTGGCTGTGTTCCCACTCTTGCCTTACCACTCCCCTTTATTACCTATACAGAAAATGTCTTAAGCTTACACTGCAGCTATATACATTTCTATTTGAAAGTGAAACCCACTGCATTTAGTAGAATTTATTCTCAGGTAAGTGTGGATAGGACTGTCAGCTGAAGTCCATAGGGCAGCTGTATAAAGTACTGATTTGTTTGCTGTTACAGCAGTTGATGCCTGCAGCAAATGTTGGAGATGTATTGAATACACACAATAATAAATACAGTATTTATTTATGCTCTACTGTTATGTATTGAACTTTGTGTAAGCCGTCCTGAGGCTCTTGCAAAGGACGGCATACAAATATATATAAATAAATAAATAAATAAATAAATAATGTATGACTTGTTCCCATCACCAACACAGAGATGAGTAGGCCTCTTCCTCTCTCTCTTCCATTCCAGCAGCCTCAGATGGAATTTCAGAAGCACAGTCCTTTAATAAAGCTTAAGTTATAGAACACATCAGGGCAGTCCAACCTTTCATTACCTTGAGGGCCGCATGAGGACTTTGTCATGGAACTTGGGGGCCAAGCAGTGAATTATATTTCCATATCACAAACTGTTTTCAATATCTATTTAATATACACAATTAATATATTGACCAATAAATGAGGAAGAAAACCTATATGAGCTCTCAGGATCAACTGAATGAAAAGGAATGCTTTGTGGGCATGTGATCTCTAAAGCTCCTTCTCTGACCAAACCCAAGAACAATGTCCACTTCTCTGGGGTGGTCTACCCCTTTTTTCCCTGTTTCTCCTGCCCAGAAACCCTCCCATGTGACACCCCCCCCCCCCCGGCGCTCCTTCCTTCTTGGAATTGGCACGCTGAGCCTCTTGCACTTGAACTGACAAGTCTCCTGCATGCCCTGCCCACTCCTGCTGACAAGCACAAAGGTGCCCAGCGGCTGAGCCCAGAAGAGCACAAGGCATCCTGGGCGAGCTCTCGTGAGGCCACCAGCCCACCCTGCTCTGTCCCTGAGCCTCAGAAAGAGAACAGGATGAACCGGCAGCTTCAGGAAATCTCAGCACAATCACGCTCGTGCCATTGCTGGGATCCAGACAGGGGAGGGGGGAGTGGTGGGCCTCAAGCGGCGAGAAGTCTGCATGTGGGACCAAACTGGTATACATCAAAGCAGCGTTCTTAAGATGTGGCCAAAGCTGCTCCCCATGTCAAGAGTTGAAATTAAACTGAAACCCTCAGGGTGGCTTTTGCTGCTTAAAGGGCTAGACCAGGGGTCCTCAAACTTTTTCACTAGGGGGCCAGGTGAAAGGTGCCAGTGCTGGGCACGGGCTAGAAAGGTGGTGCAGTGCGTGCAGGCTGGCACCGGGCCGCTGGCGTGGGGCTGAGGCAGGTGTGCGAGGCAATGGCTTCCTCGCTTGGAGATCGTTTTCTCCTAGTGAGCAAACTGTTGCCTCCCCGCGCACGGAGCAAGGTGGGTGGTGGCAGGTGTGTGCGCGGTGTCCAAATGGGCATGGCGGGCCAGATCCGGCCCCCGGGCCAGAGTTTGAGGACCCATGGGCTAGACACATGGTAATTGTCTCCTCACTTCACCTGTTGGCTCCTGAGTGAGTCAAGGCACTGCATTGCCTCCCCCACAGGTCTGGAATGCCTCCTTCCCTTTCCAAGGTAGGCTGATTCTCAGCCTCGTCCTGCGAATCTTCACTAGGTTAGCCTCAAACTGCCAACTCAGCTGCCCCCTCTGCCCTTCCCCCTCCTGCTCAGAATCAGGATAACTGAGCAGACTGTAATGTGCAAGAACCAAGAGCTCTCTCAGCTAGAAATTGCTTGGACCTTCTCTCAAGTGTAAAGCATGGTTTTAAAATCTTTTGCAGATGTCCAAAGTTGATAAAAATTGGTGACCACGCTTCATAGCATGCCAGGAAAGTCAATTTTTAAAATATACTTGTTTGTTTCTTCCTCATGCTCTAATGCAGACTTCCAATCTAAAGGAGATTTTGATACTGTGTTTATGATATAATTTTAACAAATATTGAAAGCTTCAGGGTTATTCATAAAAATAAATGGACAATTTAAATGTGTTCTGCTGCAACAATATGGCTGATTTCATTGTTAACTAGACTTAACCCAGCTATTTCTGGATTGAAAACGTTTACAGTGGAATCTTATGAGATATTCATTGAGAAGCAAGTTGTGCTGTGTCTAATGAAGCTCCCTCTTTAATTAATATGTTGTAGATTGCAACCCAAAACAACAAAATAATTTTTGTGTGATAATCTTGTTGCTGGAGCCCTGCCCCGCAATCACAAATTCTAGTACTCTTGACACTGGAGACTCCAAATAAGTGAGATCTTTTTATTACAGCATATTCTATGACATCAGCTTAATGGGTTACAGGCATCAGAAATCATGTGCCTGATGAAACTTTGCTGTAGGTTCTTGAAAAACTTCTACATCAAGGTAGGGTCCAGAACATCTCTTATGGACCAAATTCTCTGACATTCTCAGACCAAGTTAAGGGGCCATAGAAGTTCTTGCTGTTGTTAGACAAAGGAAGAGTTGGAACAATTCTTCCTGCTCCTCAGATAAGGATCACAGCCAATTGGGATCCTAGTAACAGGCCAGACATGTCTGTAGAGATCTTTGCCACTGAGTTGGACCCTCTAATGTGCTGCTCCTCCAGCTGCTCCTTTTACAAGGAAAGGATCTGAGCCCTATTGCTTGTGAGGCAAGGGAAGGAACTGCAGAAGAGGATCTGAACCACCAGCCACACCTCCACAGAGATCAAGACTCTTCCTGTCACTTCAGCTGTAACCTCTGGGTACTGTCAGTCCAGACCTCTCACCATTAAAGGTCCAAAACAAAATCAGCCTTGAGTCCAGAGTAAACTCATGCAGAGATTTCAACATCCAAAGCTCTTTGCTTTGGGATCTCTAAACCACTTGGCTTAAGGTACAGGGAGGTCCAGAAGTCAGAAATTAACTCAAGGCCAGTCAGGCCTGGATTCCTCAGTGATGTAGACACAAAATCAATCCATAGCCCACAAGATGTATGAACCTTTGAGTACAAAGAGAAGTAGAATTTGGGTAGAGTCCATGAGCAGAATGCATCTGTTAGGCTCAGATGGCGGTAGAGTCATGCAGCAAGGATGCAAAAAGGAAAGATGAGATGTCCCTAGCAAAAGCTCTAGAGGCTGTGCACTGACTCTCCCAAAGCAAAGATGTGTTCATACTGACCTTCCTCCCAAACCACTGATTGACAAGGAAGTTGTCCCATCTATGAAATCTATCCCACCTGGAAGTTTCCCTTTTCTCCTTCAGGAACAAGGAGAAAATCTGGAAGGCCCCTCTGCAAACCACCTCCCCCCAATTCTGTTGGTTCCCAGAGAAGGATGGAGTGAGGGGCTTCCATCTTTGCAAGGTCCAAGTTGCCACCTGACTCCCACCGGCTTTCCTCTGAGAGTTCTGGCGCAGGCAGAGCACACTGGTCTTGGCATTCCACTTGGCCCAACCCCTTCCAAACTACTGTGGATCAGATTCCAGCTATGAACAAGAAGGGCTGCTCTGTTACTGACACTGAACACTTAGACTTGGGACTGAAAAGGGAGTGGGAACTGGCCAGTATCTTTTAATGAAAAATATCCTGAACCACAGCTATTAGCACTTGGGGAGAACAAAGATAACTATTCTGCTATTAGAAATGTCATTTCCAGATGATGCACATTATGCAAGTAAAAAGGCATAAATTGTTTCTCTCTCTCTCTCTCTCTCTCTCTCTCTCTCTCTCTCTCTCTCTCTCTCACACACACACACACACACACACACACACACACACACACACACACACACCCTTGATGTGTTTATGACTGAAAAGAGCCTAACACATTTGGGATGACTGGGACAGGATTCAAGATGAACCTTGCCAGCTGGCATCAGCTTCTTGTCTAGAAAATCATAAAGGCAGATTTGTGAAAATGGCCAGGGTATTGCAGAGATGAATCGCAGCACATCCAGAAATCGCTTCTTTCTCTCTTGTATTTTACAAGAGCTTCTAAAAGTGTTTCCCTGTGGTTTGCTGTCTGCAGCAGCTCACATACATGCATGCGAGTCAGAAGGGCTGCCAGTTCCAGGGTAGCAAGCAACATTGCTTGCTGCTCTTGTGCTCACTGTGGGAGTCCCAGAGGAAGAGTGGAGGATGTGGTTGCTCAGCATATAATAAAACCACAAGATGGCATGGTGCTCCATGAAGAAATGTTCTTTCTAGGTCATTCATATCCCAATATGCAATTGTAAATGATGCAGCTGCTCCTCCTTCGTCTGTTGGTTCACAAACTCTCCCAACTTTCCCATCCTTTCAACAGCTCTTGGACATTCTTTCATGCTTGCTGCAGAGCATGTGCAGCCCTAACATCTTTACATGCTGCTTCCTCTGTTCTACTGGGCTGGGGAGTGGCAGGACTAGGAAAACAGCCTGATGAATCTGAACTGCCTTTAGAAAAACGGCATGCTTGCTCAATAGCCCAACAGCGAAAGTCAAGAAGGCAGAATGTCATGCGTATAATAAGAATAATCTATTGTTAAATGCATTTTTAAAAGTTACAGTCTGGCTTCTTCATTCTGCTTGCAGTACACAACACACGATTTGATTCATCACCAAGTACTGCTGAATACAATTGGAATAAATCTGCTTGTTTTCTGCTGCTTCTTGGAAAACAAGCATGTTCTTAAACTGCAGGTTGCCTCTATCCACCTTTTGTGATGGAAATATTTGGAAGAAGCCTTAGAAATGTCTGTGCCTGCTCTGCC